GGATGATGCAGCGCTGCCTTAGTAAATACTACTGCATAGTGCGCTTAGAGGACGGATGCACATCAGGGTGCATCCGTATCGGTTTGGGACTGAGCGACTGAAGGTCTCTCAGGATCGGGGGGCGGGGAAGCTCGCTTTCGGACCTCCCGCCTTTTTATACCCTACCGCGCAGCCACGACCCGTGTCGAGCGCGGCAGCCGTTACACAAAAATAATCCTTAAAGCATGATTCAGTATTCACGTGCGACGGCGCGATGGCTTATTTCATGTATAAGTTTGGTGTTTCTATACCGATTTCTATGATTCTTTTTTTATTGAATAGGTAATAATGTTAACTTTTTTAAATAAGGGATGAGTGAGAGTATTATAAACGTAAGAGTAAACAAATATAATCAGAATGCTCCGAACTGCTAAGCTATCAGGAGTTACACGTGTTATTGTGAGTCAACCATAAAAGATAGACATATGCTGTTGCGGGATATTTTTTAGACAATTTTATGTACAATATTTCCGTCATACATGATTTCTATGTAACTTTAACCATTAAGGCTCCACACGCGACGGAAGCTTAAAAAATGGAGTAACTTCTCCCGTTTTCCCAACATTTCTCTTCACTACTCTGCTCCTATTGATTGTAGCGTGATGAAAAGTATACTATAACCTGCCCAGGAGTATGAAGAATAATTGTACCAAGTTTCGTTAAAATCCGTCGAGTAGTTTTTGTTTCTATAAGGAACATACACACAGACAGACAGACAGACAAAAATTTTACTGATTGCATTTTTGGCATCAGTATCGATCACTTATCACCCCCTGATAGTTATTTTGAAAATATATTTCATGTACAGAATTGACCTCTCTACAGATTAATTATAAGTATAGATAATGCACCAAAAGCTATTAGTCCGGGAGGTAGCGTTGCATTTTTAGCAGTGATTTTACGCCGACTGTTTGCCTTCCTTTACTATTTATCGCGAACTACTTATAACTGAACCAAGCGTCAGCTGGTGCACCCGCGGTGGGTGTGGAATTGGGAGGTTGCGGAAGTGGTAAAAAAAAATAAAAAATTAAGTAATAGTACGCCAGCTCAAACTTTTTTCACGAATAGTTGACATCATACTGAGCTGAAAAAAAATCGTCAGCTGCATCGTGAAGGGGGGATTATGCGTCAGCTGGCCGCATGAATTTGTAAAAAAAAGGCGTAAAATAAAGTTATAATACGTCGGATGAAATTGAACTACGTGATTCTTTAAATAATCATAAGTACGAAAATAACAATCAGCTGCGTATATAGCGGTGGAAAGACCGTCAGCTGACGCAGTAAAGGTAAAGATTATTCTAGCAATGGACAGAATCTTTCTCGATATATTTTCGTTTCGTTTTATTTGTAACTAAATAAAAGAAAATCGAGGACAAAATGAAAAGAACCCAAAATATATTAAAAGTTAATATGAACAAAATCGAAATATAGGAATAAAAAGATCGCGAAAGTTATTCATCGTCGATGGTATCGCTATCGTCGTCGTTCTCTGACGAATCATCGGCCGAACTGTCCTGCCGGAAATCGTTTTCTTCGTCTTCATCAAGTTCTCGACCTCGATGTTCTTCACCGTCATCTGTAAATGAGCATGTGAATGATCAAAATTAGGCTACTAGAAAGCTGAAAGAAAGTGTCACCGACAAAAATTCCATACCGCCAATATTTTCGATGCTATCCGTTATACTGGTGACTGATAGGGGTACTTGATCTCCTTCGAACTATTTAAAGACATATTTGTCGTCGTTTTCTTCCCATCCCCAGTCCGTGGGAGATAATTGAGAAGGGTCTTGAAGGTGAGCATGGCTCCAAAGGTGCGCTATGTATGACGTACGCAGTAAATGCTGGCGTAGCTCGGATTTACATGGTGGGAAGATCGCCCCGTCGATACGGTTTTTCCACCTGAGCACATCGGTTTTATCATTGATTTGATAATTTTTCGCGAACGTAGCAACTCGTGTAGCGTTGACATCGTTTATTGCTTTAAATCCGTACAAGCGACAAACAAATTCTTCAATCGTTGTGAAGACCTCGTCTAATTCACGACTCGGAATATTTGCGATATTCCCCAACGCTCGCATATATGCCTGTGATTTTCGCAACAATTGTAAAGGCTTTTTTTTCCTTTCCTGTAAAATGCAGGATTGAAATCACAGCCTGTGAGGGCATGGAAACCTGGCAACGCAGAGCACAAATCGGTTCCCAAATTTTCATATAGACTTATCTATGCTATGACGTCAAAACATTTGTTAACAAACACTCGCAAGCACGTAGGAAATAAACTTTCTAAGTTAATATTATAAAACCATGATTTCTAATAGATCACATGAAAAATATAGTAGTTATCATGATACACTTGGTAAAAGACTCCAGAAAAGTTGTGGTTTAAATTGCCAAGAGAAATAAATATACTTACACATGAACATATGCTTAAAACTTGCTAAATCCTGTAACTTTATCGACTGAAAGTCTTTTCTTTTTGCAAAGATCAATTCGATGTGAGTAGGTGCTCATTGATAATATTAAAAGTTTAAAAATACAATTTTTAAGGTTATGAATGTACCTACTAAGTCAAAGAGTTTTGTCGTTTCTGCTTTCACAAATCCTGAGGCCAGCATTAATTTAGTCAACAAAACCAATAGGTAACGGGATCCTTTTCTACAAGATACAAGAGTGTTTAGATACATCTTTATAAGAAATAAACATTTGTATAGTTTTTAAGTAAAGTAACGGAAAATATTCTTCTTTATTCTAGTGAATTAAGTTATTTTACAAATTTGAAAAAAATTAAGAATATACGTAGATTCTGGGACTGAAGTTAGTAGATTTCCAGAAAAGGCTTAAAATACGTAGATCTACGTAAAAAGACGTAGAGTTGGCAACACTGGGGAGAGGCTTAGGTAGCCCGAAGGTCGTGTTATGGGTTCAAGGAAGGCCAGAATGTATCGCAAAATATGTGTTTGAAAGCGAACAGCCTCACAGCAATACTCCAAAATTTTAAATCTTGACTGGGTCAGCTGACGGTCTTTCCACTGCTACACAATCAGCTGATTGTTGTTTTCGTAGTCTAAATTTTTTGAAGAATCGCGTAGTTAAATTTCATTCGGCGTATTATAACTTTATTTTACGTTTTTTTTACAAATTCATGCAGCCAGCTGACGCATAATCCCCCCTCCACGATGCAGCTGACGATTTTTTTTTTGCTCAGTATGACATCAACTATTTATGGATAAAGTTTCAGCCAGCGTACTATTACTTTTTTTTTTTTTTTTTACCTCTTTCGCAGCCTCCTACACCCGCACCCACCGCTACTTGAGCAGCTGACGGTCGGTTCACTTATTAGTCATATAATATCAACTATCGACGTTAATATCAGCCGGCTTACTATGACTTTTGCATTTGCAACGCTACCTCCCGGACTATATCCCTACTTTGTTTTGACTTGGTGGTATAAATTTGACCGGGTTTAAATCCGGTGCTTTTCCCATCTATAGCGGTGTGATTTAAAGTTAGAACACGAATAAAACAAGTTTCAACGGTATAGATGCACTAATTTATTTATTGACGTTTCGCATCATTTAGACTTTTGCAGGATGCGTCGTCTGAATAATGATTTTATTGAAGTTATACTTCTTTAGCCGCGTTATGAAAAAATTATGAGAGTGAAATTTTCATCACTGTAACACAAAATTTTAACATAATGAAGTTAGCCGCGGGCGCGTTATTTGTAATATTTTATTTTCCAAGTGACCGTGGGGCAGATTTGAACGGGACATTGAAATGAAATGAAATGATGTGATATGAAATGAAATGAAATGGAATGAAATGGAATGAAATGGAATGAAATGGAATGAAATGGAATGAAATGAAATGAAATGAAATGGAATGAAATGGAATGAAATGGAATGAAATGAAATGAAATGAAATGAAATGAAATGAAATGAAATGAAATGAAATGAAATGAAATTATTATTAATTTATTGTAATTAATTATTTGCATGCAATTAAAAACTAATTTTAAACGATGCCAAAGAAGGATAACTTCTCACGCGCCTACATAAGTACACGCACCCATTTTTTACTTCGTCGAGTTACCTTCGAAAAACTTTTATTGAGCGTTCGGATATATAATTGGAAGATTTTAAAACTTTATTGTCTATGTATGAATTTATTAGCTTATATATTAATTAATAAAATTCTTTATTAATTAAAAAAATTGGGAGACCTTTCAGATAAGAACTGGCAAAACAAACCCAGCGCTTTCTACCTCCTTCTTATGTTAAATCATGCTAACAAAAAGAACTAATAGTATCTGTTGGTCTTGCCGTTGTATAATGGGTTCCCAAGCTGGTGGTATATACCAACCATCTTCCCTATTGAAATTTAGGTATTTCTTAATCTCAATAGCTTCGCGTATCATCCTAGGAATGAATCGTTGTTCAGTTGCAAGAATCTGTGGTTTATCAAATCTAATGTAATGGTTTGGCCCCCCTAATGCATGTTCACACACTACGGACTTCTTTTCGCGTCTATGTTTCATTTTATGATTAAAGAAGTCTGCTGCACCAGTTCGATCAATCTTAAAGCAGAGTGGTTACTTTCTCTAACGGAATGTGAGAGTCCCAGTGAGAATGGGCCCAGTGTGTATGGATAAAGTGCGGAATGGGCCCAGTGTAGATAGACCCAGTGCGGAATGGACCCAGTGTAGATAGTCACAGTGCGGAATGAGCCCGGTGCGGAAGAGCCCTGTGTGGAATGGGCCCAGTCTGATGGACCTAAAACGGAATGGGATCAGTGTGGATGGACCCAGTGCGGAATGGACCCAGTTTTAATGGACCCATTAATAAATGGGCCCAGTGAGGATAACGCCTAGTGTGGATGGACCCAGTGCGCAATGGGCCCAGTGTGTATTGGGGTAGTGCGGATAGTCTACCCTATAGTATGGACCAAAAGCGTTTCCGAGGATGTTCGATAAAAAGTTAAAAACCTGTAATGAACACGCACGGGGCCGTTTATGGGAGCGTGCGTAATGAATTTTATCGCACGCTCCGTTGTATGGCTCGTTATTTTGAATTTTCGAAAAATGTATACATTATTCGTAAATGCATTTTTTGCGCAAATGTGTTGAAAATTATATTTTAGTTTGTATATATGACGTCAATAAGTGCCTGTAAAGGCTTATGTTGAATAAATAATTTCTGATTCTGATTTTGGTCGCGACTAAATCGTTTGTCTTTTGAATAGGAGTTACAGGAGAGTTCACGCAACATCCCTTCTCAATCTTTGATGCTCATGTTTTTTTTTTATTTTATTTAATATTCTACCCCTTCGTACGGTTACCCCCACATCATGCAAACCGGCAGGTCCATATTTTTTTTCCAGTTACGTGAACAATCAGAACAGTTACGTGAACCGTTCAGTAGCTTCCTTTTAAAAGGCGATTTGGATACGACCAAAAGTCATGGCGCTTGTTGATTTTTTTTAGCTGCCCAAGACAGGCAGACATTCGGCGGCTTCTACATAGAGGGCTCAGGTATAGTGGGAGCACTTCACAAGGTGCAAGGCTGCCTCCCTTATGTTATTCTGCTGCGCTCGAGTAAATCCAAAAATGTCCGCGTGGGCTCCACTACCATACGGTATAACTGTCATCTACTTAATAGCTACTTGGCGGGCGTTACATTTTTTTTTAGGTATGATAAAGACCACATAGGAGGATACAATAAGCTCTTCACAGAGGCCTTATTACATATGAGTGACATTCGTTGTGTAAGAGTATCTTTTTGATGGTAAATGTTCCAAGATATTTTTTCCGCTCTTTATAATAACAAAACTCAAATTGCTTTCAACCTTTACTATTTATTTAACACGTAATGTTGTTATTTATTTTAGCCAACTAAGTTAGGTAGCAAGTAAGTATTATATTTTGAGACTGTTGCAGAAATTAACCTACGCAACTTATTGAAACGCTGCGTACTTACCAGCCAAATACCGAATATTATTGATTCATAGCATTGCACAGCTCACGATTGCTTTTCTCTCTGTCGGTATAAAACCACAATACTTGTACAACCAGACATCAGTATCAGGGTTGTTCTGTTGACACCACAACGGGTAGCATTTGGAAATTCAACATGGCATTCGTATTCAAGGTAATAATAAAACAAATATCAATTATTCCAATTAAGTAAAAACTTCGATATTAATAAAATTCCCACAGGATCGTGGAAATAAAAATACATAAATAAATAAAACAATTCCAAATGGGGGGGGGGGGGGGGGGGCAAATAGTATATGACAGTTATATGAGAGATAATTTTTAATTATTATATTTTAGCCAAATAATCTGACTCCAAACGTACCGGTCTTGAAATACAGTTATCTAGATCTATTAAAGTTTATAATGGTCGCCAATTCCTACATAAATTTAATCATGCAAAAAACTAGCACTTAGCTTGTCTCAAATTATGTTTAAAAGGCGACCGCGCGGAGAGCCTTTCATCTTCTTAATAATCTAAATTAATCACATATTTTATGTCATCTCCGACTTCGTAGTTTATAAAAATTCGTTGCTAGGTATCTTATTTGAAAAATAAGATTCTATTCATAGCCAAAAAAAAACATTTTCTCTATTCCTTCTCTTGAATTAATCTACATACTGTTTTACTAATCAATACTATTCGAAGTACTATTTAAAGCTCTTTTTTTCTTATATGCTCATGAAAAATTTTGTTTTCAGCTTATATATAGTTACTTTAACAAAACTCTAGCGACACCTGAACAATACCGCCACTTCCGAACTCGATTATCGTAACATCTCATAATCTTTAACACGCAAATTAGCCCGTCAAAGAGATTGCGGCATCCGTTATCAATCTTGTTGTTCGCAACAACGACTATTCGCCGACGACTTTCTTTGTGTTTGTTCGCCACCGTGTTACTCAACGAGATAGTACCACTCAGCCGTGAAGGCCGTTTTTTTAGCAGTGAGATTACGAGTCACGACCCTGTCCACAATGAGGCTTTTCTCTTTTTATATTCCTATCTTTCAATGTCATTTTCGTCATCGCTGACCTTAACCATTAATTTCTAAGTAGGTGCACACTTTTTAATAGGATTTGCGTTTGTGTTTTTATATTAGTAAATTTTTATTTTTTCAGTTTCTTGTACCCTTCACCCTTGCTTCAGTAGTCCTTTCCGGTAAAGCTCCAGGAGGCTATTCTTATAATCGGTTCAGCGGTCCCGTCAGCGGTAAGATAATCGAGGTGCAAGTACCAGCTGCCGAAGGTTTACCAGCTCAACAACACGCTGATTATGGATACGATCATCAGAGCGGCAGAATACACCCTGACACTGCTAAATACGCACATTTAAAAACAGTTGACTATGTTGTAAGTGAAATTGTAAATTTATAGGTTTTGCGAAATGAACGGTTACATTTTGTTTTAATTGAGAAAATATGTACTGAAAATGGAATTCTTTGATTTGGTTTCTACCGAATAGGAAGAGGCATTAGGGTCAATATACACATGAAGATGTTGATTTTCTGTAGCATTAGTGTAGGTAAAAATCTTTCAAAACCTAGAGAAAATCTTATTGGCAAGAAATAGTGGATTTCGGTCAAGGTATCAGATAGATACATTCGCCTACTGCTATCCGGGCGGACGCACTAACGGGAATAGGATAGCGGAAAGCGCCTATCTATTCTTTCTGATACATGGTATAAGGTGGACGTTTTTCTACTAAAATTTCTTCTAGATTTATAAATCCAGCCGTTTAATGCTTTAATTAACAATAATAATACATCTTTAAACCTTTTAGGCCAAGCCCGACTACCAATACGCGTATGGCGTAGAAGATCCCCACACTGGCAACTTGCAGAACCATAAAGAGGTCCGCGATGGTGATGTTGTGCGCGGGGAATACTCTCTGGTGGAGCCCGATGGTTCCCTACGTTTGGTTCGGTATACTGCTGACCCTAAGAACGGCTTCCAGGTACAGTTGCAAGATTTATTGTTCAACATTGTTCATTGTACCGAATACCACCCAAAATATAAAGTAAATTACTGCCGATACATACCGTTCTTAATATGATATGTGGAATACGCATTTTTCTGTTTTGTGATTTTTTGGAAAACCAATTTATTAGATAAATATTTATTGTATTTTTTCTTATAATAACACTGAATGTTGGACCTTCCTAACGATATTATCATACGGCGAGGACCAAATAATAATATGGGTGTATTGCAACATTTTTTTTATGTTTTACAGGCTACTGTACACAAAAAGGCTGGGGGTCAAGCTCAGAGACCAGTACATTACGGATACCCGAAGCAGCAAGAAGAAGACGAATCAAGAGAATACTAGTCGCGTCATACAATTCTAGATTAGTTTTTGTTATTGAATATTTATTGTTAAGTTTTCTTTTTACAAAAATATAAAAGTAGTCTTCCGAACTATTTATGTATATTTTTTTTCTTAAATGGCTCACTTTGAACAACCTCTTAAAAGTTGAAGATGTAGGTAAATGAATTGCATTCAAGTTCAGCTACTTGAATAGTTTTTTCATCAATTCTGTCGGAAAAGGGAACACTATTGTATGCGAGTTATCTCCTGACATCATTTGTAAAGATTGGAGGTATCGTAACTGAAACATTTAATAATTTATTAGATACTTATGTAAGATAATAACAAATTTTGTCTAAACTTCAAATATATTACCTGCATACAAAACGGGTTCTCAGCGAGTATAGCTGATGCTTTTTGAAGACTCACAATCGATTCTATTTCTGCTTTCGCCACGATTATTTTTGCGTTTGCCAATCTGGATGACTCAGCCTCAGCTGCCATTGCTTTCTGAAGCTGAATTGGCAGTCTAATATCTTTTCTATAAAATTCGTGAAATGAGTAGATAAAATCCTATTAATATAGTTGCCATAGGGATAGGATGAGGTACTTTCAATAAATCGTCATTATTTAGTAGAGTTATCATTAATTTTAGTTACGACACTTGGCTTTATAGTAGTTAAAAAATTATGGTCTAAAAAAATAATCATAACGTACATATCAACTCGCAGGACCTGAATACCCCATCTTTTCGTGAATTTGTTCATCTGCTCTAATATCTGCTGGTTCATAGCTGGCTTGTCGATCAACAGCTCGACTAATTTTTTATTGCCTATCGCATTCCGTAGTGTCGTAGCTGCCAGTAATTGTGTCGATGTTCTGAAGAATATTAACATTGTAAAGATGAATACAATACAATTTGAATAGTGTATAGTACCTATATGGTAAGGTATAGTCACAAAATCTACTTATAACTTTAAATCTAAAGAAAATATAACTAGAAAAAATTCCACGCGGACCAGGCAGCAGACGGGACTGCCTGGTCCGCCTGGTCCGCGTGGAATTTTTTTTCTAGTTATATTTTCTTTAGATTTAAACATCAAGCAGTTACATGCTTTAAAAATAATAAAAATTATAACTACTTATAACTTGTTTTTTTGAGACCACCTTGACTCAATATTAGGTTCAGTAAAATCAATTACATATTTGCTTTTATTATAAAACGAAAACTAAATTTTAAAAGTTTAGTAAGGTAGGGGTTTATGGTCGGTACCGAGTTTTTAACTTTATAATGGCATTACAGGAGACCATAGTAAAAATAATAAAAGTTTTCGATGATATTGTGTTTCTGTTGGTGATAAGGATTTCAAGGCTCCACATGGTAGTGGATTGGATGTAGGCCGGCAAAGTGGAGAGCTGGAACGGCACACTTTTCTGCTACATTCGCGCCTGGTCTTTACTTACACTAAACATCAGGTGGGGTGTGGTAATATGCTGAATCTGTTTTTTTATACGAGGTGCAACAAATTACCTCACCCCACCTGATGTTAAGTATAAGTGAAGTCCAGTCGCGAAACAAGGCGGTGCCTTGTTGGCCTGAACCCGTAGCCCGTGGAGCCCTGGAACGCTACTCACCAGCAGAAACTCAAAACCACCAGAAGGTAGTGTTAATTTACCGTCTGTCTTCTGTTTTTTTTTTGAGTGTGTATGCTATTGGTCGCAGATGACCTTTAAAGCGTCACCGGGGTTGGGGACGGCGAGATCCTAAGGGGACCTCAAGCCGAGAATTGGCGAGTGCCTCTAGAGGTGTTCCAGGCGGATGGCGTCTCCAGCGGGGGGAGTCTCCTCTCCGTCTGGAGCCTCTCGACCACTCGAACCTGAGAGGGTCGGGTCAACTAGAGGGCGTCTCTGAGACTCGGACCTCGGCTCTAGTTAGGCGTTGTCGTGGGGGGCGGGGAAAAACGCCCAGGTACGTACCTGTACCTGTTATAGCGTGTCGTGTGTTGTCTTCTGTAAGTTGGAGCGGGCCCTAGACAAGAGCTCCAATTTGAGCAGGAAATCAGCTGTGCCCTACCTCTCTTAAACATCCTGTATAAAACATAAAGCTCTCACTTATAATCAGCAACATTCATCACTGCGGACATAGGATCGCGCACTTTATAATAGACTACCGCATCAACTGATATTGTTAGAGAATCCTTGGTTAATGCCTGAAATTTTAAAACAGTAATGTGGTGTTCTTACTAAACTTAATCTTAGGATAGCAGGAATAACTACATAGGACATATTAAATCTTTATCGCTAAAGTATCTATCTCATATCTCACCAAAATTTTATCCCTCTGACCCTTTTGGGACATATTTATGTTCTGTAAAAGAAGGTCAGCACCAATATTGCAAAGAGCATTAATGCAGCATTATTGAATTCATTATGTGTCAGGAATACAAAGCTAATAGTAGGGGAACCCAAGCAGTAATTTTTGGATTTACTCGAGTGCGACAGAAAAACATAAGGGGGACAACCTTGCACCTTGTGATGTACTCCTACCATACCTAGGGTCTAGGGCAGCAAAAAAAATGCCAATAATCATCCATGCCTTTTGGTCACGTCCAAATCGTCAGTCTTTTGAATAGGAGCTACTGGTGGGTTCACGTAACATGCATTCTTAACGACTGACGCACTCGAATATTTTTTTCCCTATATTTTACCTCTTCGTCCAGCCACCCCCACACCATCCAAACCGGCAGATAAATATTTATTCCGTCCTCAGAAACGTTACGCGAACCATCCAATAGCTACTATACAAAAGACTGAGGATTTGGCCGTGTTAACAGACATGGAGGTCAATTGCCTAAAGGAATTGCTATGGCTATCGCTATCGCTTACGATTTCATTTTGTTATTTCTGACCCCCGAAGATTTTCAAATACCTTACGCTCATTTTCGTCAATATTGTTATGACCATAGCAAAAGAAAAAAAATGAGCCCGAGGCATTTCAAAAAATTCAGCGGTCAGAAATAAGAAAATGAAATCGTAAGCAATAGCGATATCCATACTAATCTCGTTAGGCGATTGGCCCCATGGTCGGTTGTTGAAAAAAATGTTTTTATTGTCCTAGACGTTCGGCCCTACTAGATGGCTCAGGTATGGTGGGAGTAATTCACAAGGCGCAAGTTTATGATGTTACTCGTATATGTTGATTAAACTGTGTTAACTTCAGTTACAACATGACTTTTATCGTTCTACTGAAATTAAAAAGACTTACTTCTTGGGGTGGCACACAGTAGCAGTTTATCCTGAGATCGATACTTTTCACGTCATCAACACAAGGCAAATAAGTGACCAGTCCAGGGCCATAGGCACGATTTTTGCGTATTTTCCCGTTACGCAGTATCACCACTCTTTCAAATTGGTGTACGCTCTATAAGATTAATATAGGAAAGAATATGGCATACAATATAACATACCTTTAAGTATTATATAGGTAAGCAAAGAATGCAAAAAATAAATAAGCACGGAATAAGCAGATAACACCCAGTACTTATACTTAAAATAATAATCGAGCTTACCACAAATAATAAAAGTAAAGATGCTGGGAAAGCTAATATGACCAAAATTATTGATAAGAGTACTAAAGCTTTTTCGATGTTATTTTGATCTTCTGTAATCATAACAAACCCTATTTTAAAAACAATTACAGGGGATTTTCAAAGTGTGGTATTCTAAATGATAATTAACGTAAGAGTAGGATGGAAGATGCAGGAAAAATTCCAGCTTTAACACTTTAGGTACAGTGAATTCCTAATTATTATTACTAAGAAGCTTAAGAAGAGAGGTAGTGCAAAGTGGATTTTTACCGAATGAAGCGTCCGTCTGGGGAAGCAACTTCCATCTTACAGAAGACTACAGTAAAATAAGACTACCTTTTGGTGGTGTTGTTTTTCTGTCGGTGAGTAAGGTTCAAGGGCTCCACGGGGTAAGGGATTGGGTCTAGGTAGGCAACGACGCGAGTGAGTTTTTGTATCGCAAGTGTCTATAGGTTATGGTGGCCGCTTACTATCAGGCGGGCCATATGCTTATTTGCCACCCTTTTAAAATAAAAAAGCATCCTGCGTATCATTTGAAATGATACGAGTAAATACACGTAACTACTCGATACTTTACTTTCGATACCAAGTACTTTTGGCATCGATATTTTAGAAATGAGTAACAAGAAGTATCGTGAGGTAAGTACTTGCATCGGTACTTGGTTGGTCACTCACTGAAAAGTATAAAAAAACTCATAGGCAGATTATTTACTGTACGGTAAGGAGTCTAGTTGAATTTTTTGTATCGCGAACACATCTTTTCTACTGCTCAGTTGGCAGCCTTATATTTATTTCAATTTATTCAGTCAGTTATACGTAAATCGCATGGCATTGATTAAGCCGTTATTTTATTTCGTTAAATTAAAACTGTGACTGGTGTCGATTCTGGCATGATTATCTAAACATAAATTTAAATATGACAACAGTATATCTTTGTCATTCTCTATACAGAATGAAAAGGAGAGCCTGATGTTAAATTTAGTTTTAAGTTTAGAGAATCATGCCGGAATTGACACCACTGAATTTGTAATATCGTTCGTCAATATTTATCGATACAAGTAAGTATCGATACTTAACATTCGATACCGAGTAGGCATCGATCCTATATGACCGATACAGTATCAAGTAAAAGTATCGATACCTGGATGGTATCGTTTCGTTTCATCCTTAATCCTGCGGTACAATCGCGCGCTTGACTATTGATTCAATCACAGAAGTAAATTCAAGTATCACATTTGTGATGTGATGATGAAACCTATGGTCAACCTATGGTGCGAATGTTTCCGACTTGCACGTGCCGATATATTTTATAAACAAACACACCAGCAAATTGTACTAATGCAATCTACTCATAATAAGTGATCTATAGTATAGCTAAGCAATGTGTATAAATTTTTCACTTGCGTCTATAATTAGGAGCAATGAAACTCGTAGGGTAATATCCTCTTTCTAAGTCGGTTTTGGTATTAATATTCTTTGGATTTTCCTTGGATTCGGTTTCATCCTGATAGTCATTCTGTTGCATAGTCCACAAAATTATACGTAGCAAATAAGTGTCAAAAATCAAATTCTGTATATCATTTCTATGCCTTTTTAACTTCGTTATTAGATTAGATTTCTGCGGTGTTGACTTCGTTATGGAATAGTTCAAGTTCGAACAGAGTGATCACTTGCTCAATGGTATTTATCTAATAAGTGACATTTGACAACGACATTAGTATTGAACATAGAGTAAGTAAAGACTAGTATTGAAGAAGTCATTTCTTTCCGTTTCCTTTATCTATGCTTCGAAAGGGAGGAAAGACATAGAGGTATAAGAATAGAGTTGGGAAGGGGGCTCTAAAAGTGTCCGTCTAGTAGAAAGAGAAAGAAGATGAGAGACGACTAGCCTTTCTCTCTCTAATCACGAATGCGCATTGGATGAAAAACCTACGGATGAATACCGACTAATCACACGACTGCGAAGCGTCACAAGAGACAGATAGCCAGCCGTATCTCATCTTCTTTCTCTTTCTACTAGACGGACAGTTCCACTTGTAGTAGAGTACTTATCTCCCCTACTCTATTCTTATACCTCTATGAGGAAAGAACGACTAAAAAAGATAGTAACTACTCTTCGTTCAAGAGGGAACTTCAAGTGAGCTTCGAACAACTAGAAGAGTAGGATAAGGACAAATAGGAAATGAATACAGAGAACTATCCTTTTCGGTAAAGTAGGTAAAGTAATCGGTAGTTATTCATCATCATGCTATTGGACTTTATTTTTTTTTATAACGCAGGCTTTTTACAGACGCTTTTTACAGACGACGGCGCCTTTAAGAGTCACACCGCCGAACGGGCCTCACACCTGGCTCCCGCAAGTCTTACGGACCCCCCAGTGGCTGACCACCGAGGACCCCGCAACTCTAAAACTAATATCAGCTAAAAAAGTCCTGCGAATACCTTCTACACTGCTTTATACGAAGCCGCGGAGTCCCCGTTTAGGGATTCTTCCACGACTGAGCACCCAGCAGCTTCCCGGCCTCGCCGGCGCTCCACGGCAGGGGTCTCCCGAGGTATTACGGGGACGCCGCAGACGTGCGGATGGCCCGCGCTTGGGAGCTGAATACGCGGCCTAGTGCCCACCGTACCGCCCCCCGTCCGCTGCGGAGGGCTACTCGGGCGTACCCATGTAGCACCCTCCGCCCCCCCCCCACCCCTTTGTAGGAGAGAACTACAAAACTACTGGACTTACTATAAAAGGCCACGCTAGTTCCTTATGGTAATATAACGATATAAACTATTTTTTTTCTCTGACTTTAGTAGCTCGCACTCTATCGCCAAAACATCTGTCTCATACACCCATACTGGTCGACTGGTAGAGAATGCCTATGGCATTAAGTCCGCCATTTACTGTATTTTGGTAATCAAGAATAAATAAATAAACTATTAACTACAAACCAAAAATCATTTTTATTTAAAAATTTATTAGGCATTCTAAATAAAAAATATAATACAAAATATTTAATTTGATCTATCTATAGCTACTGGACTTCGGAGGTTCTGGTAGATCGAGCGGGAACGGGAATATTATTGAAGTTTGTTGCTGGGAAGCGATGTAGTTCAGCGTTTGCAAATACCTTAACTGGAAGAAGATGTTTATATTTTTCATTAACTGCTAGATGTTTAAATGTAAATAAAAATTTACAAGAAAATGTTCCAATCATTCCAGGTTTCACAAGGGAATCGAACCTGCAACATCTGCTATCCGGGCGGACTCACGCATGGACGACACCAGTACCCTTACCACGAACTCGTAGTTCTCGTTACGTACTTTGTAGCGCTGCTGTTCAAGTTTCCATACAAAATTGATATTTCGCACTCGCAAACTATTCGAATTCGATAATGGTTCGTGCTAGGAGTACAGAACACAGAAAGCGGTGAAGAAGGGCCCTGCTGGCGGGGCAGGCGCGCCATTGTTATGTGTGAGCAAATCCTCATAACTTGGTCAAAACTTAGTTCTAAGTGAGCGCTGGTTGGTTCGATTGTTTGATGTCGCGTCGTTTGATTGGCTATTATATATTAGGCGGAAATGTAGTGGAGGCAAGCCGGCGACATTAGTTCCCGTACAAACAGTCTATGATCATCCTTCTAACCTCTTTCTGTGTTCTGTGGACGTCACGGCTATCAATATCAATGTCTCGGTAGCATAACTGGCTTGTGCGTCCGCCAAGATAGCAGAAGATGCAGGTCTGGAACTTGAACCGAGTGAAATAGTTTTTAGTAAAATTTTGTTAAATTCATCTGAAAAGGATTTCGAGCAGGTTGATTCTATTTTTCCTGTTGTCGTGCGGTTAGAATAAAAGCATCGATACCTTTTAGTACCTGTGGCGCAGGTTAAGTATATAATTATGTTAGGATAAACGATGAATCCTACTAATATCGTAAATGTGAATAAATAAAAAAAAGAAGAAAAAATTCAAAAGTACGTAAAAGAGCTACTTCGGTATTCCAACAGCTAACTGGAGTTTTTTGCTAAGAAACCATTTAAGTAATTAGCTTTTTTTTACCCCACCTGATGTTAAGTGGTGAAAAGGTACTATGTAGTTGTAGGGTAATACGTGTTCCTGGAATCTCTCACAATTTGACATAAATTTATAAGTTTTTATTTGTTATTTATTCAAGAATAAACTCTTTTCGGGACTACAGCCCATGACCTGTAAAACGCAGAATTGGAACCGCAACCGCTCCGTTATGTTAGTGTAGGTATTTTGTTATTTCAAAAACCAATTCATTAACATATTAAAGTTCTCAATGTCGCAGTCATTGTAGCATTTCTATATTCGTTTTCCTTCGCTTAAAACGATAAACGCTTAAGATTTTCTTACTATAACATATCTATCTTTGTAACCCATAACGATTTTCTTTTACGAAATAAAAGGTATCCTTTCATGTTTAAATATTACAAAGTAGTCTCTTGTCTACTAACGAGCATTATCTGTGGATTGTCCACCATTATTCGAGATGCGTCTCTGAGATTTTCCGCTGCTTTTATTTCCCCTTGTGCTTCGATTATCTTTGCTTTCGCTATTCGAGTGCCTTCTGCTTCAGCTGCCATTGCCTTTTGAAGTTCACAAGGTAATATGACATCTTTTCTAAAGGCAAAAAAAATTGGTAGATACTGAGAATAGTATAGATCTAATAACTAGTTTACAGTTTGTTATACAAATTGTAAAATAATTGGAGCTCGCATTTGGCAATATACAGGGTGAAATTGAATGTTTCAATGAAACTTTGTGGGATTATTGGGTTACGTATATAGAGTATCTCTGAATTTTTTCGGATTTTTTAAAAATGATTTAAAATAAAATTTCGTTTTTTTTTTTATATATTTTAATCTCCTTTTGGGTACTAAATAATTATTCTTTTTAAACACGCATACAGAGTAAGTAAAAAACAACTAATTAGCACTACTAAAAAAACGTAAAAACAGAAGACGAGCGGTCGGGAGCAATGACCGCTCCCGCCGTTGAATCGGTTGAATACCTATCTATGCGCGGTGCAAAGCGCAGTGAGCGAGCGCAGTGTCAAGTCTATCCACCGCGCGTGCGTATCTTTTAAATTTGTGACAAGAGAAGATTTGCAAATAATGCCATGATTAGTTCTCGTTCTGTGGCCTCAATATAAGAAGTTGGATATGGTGTGTTGTTATTGAAGTGTCACGGTATACTCAGCAGAGCCACAAGGCTTTACGAAAGTAGGTTTGGTGATTGATTGTGTTTACAAAGTGTATACGGGAAGTTTAAGTGAAAAAAATGAATAGGTACATCGGTCTCGTAAGTACTTTTGAATACCGGGTTATAAATTTCACCCAAGTATTGAACTGCAATAAGTATTTCTTTTTGTTTAACATTTGCCTATTTCTAATCGTGACAAAATTATAATTAACTTTTAAAGTTTTTCTCCGCTTAAGAGAAGATGACATTTGTGCTTATTATTTCAATAAAGGCATCTAAGACGACTTTATTGTATTGTGTGGAATCAAAGGAGTCAACTGAACTCTGTGTAGAGCAGCTATACTCTAAGTGTGTTCCGCGGAACCCTAGGGTTCCGTGATACCTCTGTCGGGGTTCCGCAAGAATTTAGAAATAAAAAAATCAAAACACCTCTCTCTGGTCGCTCCGCGGCTGTGCGGACTCCGCGGCCGCGCGGAGACAAAACGCTATGAATGTTATTTATTTATTTATTTGTATTTGTATAAGCTTGTGTTACATTAGCTGGTACAATATCTCATAAGTTTGGTCTCAACAATTTTATACTTGTACAACGCGTTCGCTCTAAGTTTGCCGGTCTGTGGAATGCGCGTACCCTCCCCCACGTGACAACAAAACTTATAATGTGTCATAGTTTTACCCAAATATCTAACGTACACAATTTTTATTGTTACAATTAAATAAAAAATTTCGAACGTCATACACTCATACCTATCGCCAGCGGCAAACTTAAAACGAGCGGGTAGGTATACTTGTAAGCGCTCAGTCTCTTTGATAAAAGCCGCCTCTGAATTAGACGCTATAGTTGTCAACTAGCGACTTTCGTCTCTAACTTCAAAGGATAAAGTCGATATTGTTTACAACGCTATTTTTAAATTTCTGTTTTTATTTTTGCTTTTTGTTTATCAAAGGTGCCGACTCGAGTATTTTCGAGAATATTTGAGATCGAGTCTAGGACTAAGTATAAAAGCGGCGATCGCGCGTTGGCGTCGTCAGTTGATGATTAGCGTTCGGAGCGATAAGTTACTACCTACTTACAAGCTCGCTAGCGAGAAACTGGTGTTCATTGTTTTACTGCCTGCTGTATTCTGTTGTCTCAGTTTTATACATTTCTTCCCTGTAGGTTCTAAATTTAGTCTCTTATACGCAGTAACGATTGTGCATTATTTAAACCCCACTATCCTGACTTGTAACATTATAAATAAAGAAGAATGGAACGTTGGCTTAAAGGTGTTAAACGTGTTCCAACAACATCTTCTAATGACGCTGAATGTTCAAAAGCAATGCGCGCGGAGAATTTAGCAATCACCGATCCAGAAGATGATGCCACGAGTGCCACGACGTCAAGCTCGACGGTTTCAAAGACGAAAAAAAGGAAGTATGATGAATCTTATATCAGTTTCGGATTTGTTGATTCCAACGGCTCACCTCTCTGCATGCTCTGTAGTAAACTGCTTCCTAATAGTTCCATGGCACCTGCCAAATTGCGTCGACATTTAGAAACCGTACACCCCGAGACTAAAGACAAGAATAAAGAATTTTTTGTTCGCAAAAAAGATCAGTTATTAGAAAGTCAAAAAAATATGATGCATGTAACACAAACTACCAACGAAAAGGCCACGGAGGCATCATACTTAGTTAGCTATCGCATTGCACAAGCAGGTGAAGCGCACACTATCGCTGAGAAATTAATAAAACCATGTGTATTAGACATAACAAAATGTATGCTTGATGAAAAATCTGCAAAGCATCTTTCTACTGTTCCGCTATCAAACGATACTGTTTCACGACGAATCCATGATCTGGCAAGCTACGTCAAACAAGAACTAGTTACACGTCTACAAAATACACGATTCGCTTTGCAAATGGACGAGTCGACTGATGTCGCTGGTTTGGCTATCCTGCTGGTTATTGTGAGATATCCATATAAAAGTTCTTTTGAAGAAGACATGCTTATGTGTTCATCGCTGCTTACAAACACTACCGGGGAAGAAATTTTTAATAAAATAAATATATTTTTTGAAGAACATAATCTCAGTTGGAACAATTGCATTGACATTTGTACAGATGGGGCCAAGGCGATGACAGGTAAAACAGCAGGAGCAGTGTCACGAATGAAAAATAAAGCGCCTAATTGTAGTTCCAGTCATTGTATTCTGCATAGACAAGCACTTGCGATGAAGCAAATGCCGTCTAATCTAAAATTAGTTATGGATGAAGCGGTAAAAATAATTAATTTTATCAAATCACGACCACTACAATCCCGATTGTTCTCATTATTGTGTGAAGATTATGGCAGCAAACATAAAACACTGCTGCTCCATACAGAAGTGCGATGGCTGTCTCGGGGAAAAACTTTAACAAGGCTATTTGAACTTAGAGCCGAGTTACAAATGTTTCTTTCAGCAGATACTTCTTTTAATTTGAAGGACCGTTTGTATGATAAAACTTGGTTGTTCCGATTGTCTTTTATGGCGGATATCTTTCAAAAACTTAACGAATTAAATTTATCATTGCAAGGTAAACAGACAACAGTGTTTCAGGCCTATAATAAAATAACTACTTTTAAAAGAAAATTAGATTTTTGGATCATTTGCATTGGTAAGAAAGAAATAGAAAGTTTTACGTTACTCACTGAGTTTGTTAGCGAAAACGACTCAGAAATGTTTGAAGATAATGTGTTTGAAGAATTGGTCCAATATCTCAGTTCGATGCGCGCATCTTTTGAAAAGTATTTTCCCGAAGAACACAATACAAAAATTAAAGTGAACTCCTGGATTCATAATCCTTTTTTACCCAACTTGGAAAAGCCTGAAAACATGTCAAATGAGATATATGAATCTCTTTTAGAAATGTCATCAGACACAAGTATGGAGTCATTGTTCAAAACGACGCCTCTTAATGATTTTTGGTGCAGAATCCAAGATGAATATGCAATGCTTGGCCAAATGGCTCTGGATATTCTTCTCCCGTTCCCAACTACATATTTGTGCGAAACAGGATTCTCTACCTACGCAGCCACGAAAACAAAATATCGCAATAGACTGGACGCCGAAGCTGATATGAGACTCCAACTTTCTTCCATCAAACCTGATATCAAGCAATTGATGAAAAATAAAAAACAGTTTCATACCTCCCACTAGTTAGATTTTTTCTTTTTTAATGTTTTCTATTATTGTCCTTACCAAGTGGTGAAGTAAATAATAATTAGTAACGGATACATTGTACTTTTATTATGCTGATTAATATAGAATACACTTATAAAAATAATTGTTTTATTGTAGGGTTCCATCAAGTATTTTGCTTCCCAAAAGGGTTCCGTCATTTAAAAAGTTTGAGAACCACTGGTGTAGAGGTACGTACTCACTCAACGGCTGGCGGGCGCGGTCGGTCGTTGACCCGCCGTGGAATTTTAATGTTTTTCCATTTTTTTGAAGTACTTATTTATTAGTTATTTTTCACTGGATATGTAAGTTTGTTTGTTTAAAATGAATAACTACTCAAAAGGAGGAAAGGACATAAAAATACACAAATTATAAATAAAAACATGAAAAAAAAATACTTCAAAAAAATCCGAAAAAAATCAGGCATATTCTTTTCACGTAACCCAACAATCTCACGAAGTTTCATTAAAACATTCAATTTCATCCTATATATAGTACGTTCCATAAAGGTTGTGTTGTGTTTCTGTTGGTGAGTAGAATTCCAGAGGGTTACGGAATTAGGTGCAGATTGGCAACGTAGGGACAAAGGAAGAGGCACATATTTCTGCCGAAAAATCTATTTTCGCGTTTGGAATCCTCTTACAATTAACATCAGATGAGATTATTCTGCAGCCTGCGTCATCAAATTTTCATTGCAGTCGACGCACTAAACTAAACCATTGGAACTGATACTCATACAAATGTTTAATTTAAAAATATAAAAAAATGCTTACATTTCAATTCTCTCTGTTGTTACGCCCCATTCGTTGGTAACATTATCTATCTCTGCTCTCGCCGTTCGACTGATGTTGATACGGTTAGATAATAGTTCCGTTAGAGTATACTGTCCCATAATATTTCTTAGAATTGATACTGCTGTTAATTCTGTGGCATTTCTGCAACACGGTCATAGAACTTACACTATTTGTGAAAAAATACATAGCAATACTATATGTAGGTACTGAATGCGATTTTTAAACTAAAAACTACGTCATGTGCCTAACAGGAAAATGTATGGCATTCGAGGTGTACTATCTCGAGGTGAACACAAAGACGCGATCGAGTGCTCTAGTTTGCATTACGCACATGGCATCATAAATGAGCTCTTTTGTTGATTTTCGAAAAAGCACAAAGTAAGTAATGCTTATTAAAGTTCCTAGTCAACAAGGAAAACTTATTTTTTGCTATGTCTGTGATTCCGTCCACCCCAGCTTACCTCCGAGGCTATTAGTACAAGATAGTTAGTAGTAAGCCTTCTGACACGAACTTGGCTGGTTTTTATATTGAATAGATACTTATGTAGACTGCTAAATAATTTGATAGGTGCTATCGAATTTATATTGACTCTTTTAGATCAATCAATCATAGGAATACGTAATGCAGTAGTTAATTGAACTTTTTCTTTTATTTATAAATATGGGGAAAATACAGGGAAAAATATTATTTCGATGGGACAAAAATATCATAGTTACAGATAATAGTCCACGTTGAGAATGCAGAGTAGGGGTTTCTGCACGTGACAGTATACCACAGCGTTCACAATAACGGTTACGGAGTCCTTCGTAAGTATCTGAAACACAATGGATTTACATGTAGAATGCAAAAAATAAATATCTATGTTGTATTTCATGCCCACTGTCGCAGAAGAGATAGACAAGTGCAAATCGAGGCACACTGAGCGCCTCTCGAACCATCCGAATCTTCTAATATGCCAATTGCTTGAGAAAGCTAACCACATCTCGAGACTAAAGAGAAAGAATGTTCTTTAAAGGAAGTGGTGGCGCTGGTCAACCACTCCTGTCATGTTTGGTTGCGCTCAATAAATTTGCTTATAGTCCAAAGACTAATTGCAAATAATAAAAATAATAAAAAAATGTTGTATTTATCATCATCTCTACTATAATATATACAGGGTGACCGGTCAATTATCGACACAAAAAAAATAGTCCGGCATGTCCGGGGGGTATCCGAATCACGTCCATATGTATGTTCCGCGTTTTTTTATAGATTTTGAGTTATGATCCCCCCCCCCCCCCCCCCATTTACTTTACACACGTAATCGTAACTCAGAATTAAGTAAAGCACAATATTTCCAGGCTGGACAAGTATATCGTACGGGTTTTCGGTTTCAGGGCATAGCGATTTCTTACTCGGAACGGAGTGCCCGTCTGGAGAAGTCACCTTCACCTTATGGAAGACCGCAGTGGGTAACTAATGTATGCAGAACTCTACGAGGTAGGAGATAGGGTAATGCTACGTATCGCGTGAGTTAGGTATGCCTCCCCCATAGACGCTTTGCGCATTATCGGTCGGATATTATCAAACATCGGATGCGTTATTGCGATATGTGTTTTAGTACATTATGTATGAGAATGCATCGCTATGAGGTTCCACACGGCTGCCAAAATAATTTCACAATAGAAATATGACGAAATATCACAATAAAGAATCCAATATTATCGACCAATAGCAACGCGCATATCAGCGGGAGGCTTAATTCTATGATAAAGCAGATCTTAATAGCTATCTCTTATGTATTTAGGTATAGACATTGAAACCTCCTGTTCAGGTAAATTAAAAGATTGTGTTCTCAAATCGATGTAGACAATTTTGTCGATGCACGGCACTATCCATATGACGCCAGGGCCTGCGGGACTGTCCTTTCTCACTCTACCGAAGCGAAATATCACAGCTCGTTTATATTGTTTCACAACCTAAAATATCAGGAATCCAGTATTGGAATTGTAAATAAAATTAGCTTAATATAAAGTAGGTATTCGTCATTGAAATTGACTTATGGATAAAGGGGGAGGGGGTTATTATCTGATGCGTTGTTGCGATATCTGTTTTTAATATAATATGTATTAGAACGGTGACGAAGTTACACACTGCTGCGATAAAAACGACGAAATAGAAGTTGGCGCATTATCGCAATAACGCAGTAGACCAGTAAATACTATTTAATAGAATGGTCCAAAGTGTAATTACATCAATAAGACATCGTCTACTTAATCAAAATAGACTCGTGTCACTATTTTTCCGCACACAGTTGACCGCGTTTTGGAATAAGGTGGAATATGTTTTGCAAAAGAGTGAAAAGGTTTTTAAATATTTTCCTTACCAAAAAACAGAACACCAATATTATCGGACACATGATGATTAGGATTATCATTATGAATCGAAATACTTTTTCCTTTTTACTTTCATTAGTAAAATCTGTAAAATAAAACAGTACAGGCTTTGTAAACCTAAAGTAAATTTAAATAGAAAAAATTTCACTTGGTCATAGTAGTAGATAGATAGATATCGTTTATTGCATCAGTAGTAGTAGTAGTTAATTTCTACTAGAATTTTATAAATCTAGAAGTTTAATGCATAAAATAACAACATAATAAAGTACAGTTTTTTAATTTCTCCTTGGATAAAATAGGGTCGGTTCCAACGCGTAGTAGCAGATTAATTTTCTATAAGTTAAAATAATCTTATTGAATATTTACAATGTTTAGATACAAAGTTAACAAACAATAAATTAACATTTAGACTTTTGATTAGAAATTATCCTGGCAAAATACGGTATTCAAACTACGAACATATTTGAACATACAATAATAAATAGAATGTACGTCGGTACCTGATAAAATAATATCAGACTCTCGATGCTCCATTAATTTATTTTCTTACTTCATCTAAATCCATTCCAAAATATAAATAAAAATTAACTTATAAAACGTCAAACTACACACACCCATGTATAGAATGACAGGTCATCCAAAGAATAATGGCTTGCGCAGACGAGGAACTTTTGTCCTCCGCCGACAAAAGTCTAAATCGTGAAAATAATGTCCGCCGAAAACGTGTCGCGGACTCAAAGCACACGGCGTGTTCAATGAAATATATGATAACCAAGCGAGTTTCATTGGCGATCTATGAAAAGTCCGTTGTGAACAAAGAAGTGTTGCCGATAACGCCCGTTAGCCGTTGGTTTGAATCGCTCCCGTCCGTAGTTTCAGCGCCAACAGTTACTGTTGATATTTAGAATTTTCATGAAAAATAAATATTTTTTTATAACATCTATGCGAAAAGAGCTAATTTTTTGTCTGTTTACAGGAAACAAAACAGTGTTTTAATCTATAGACACTAAAAGTAAAAATATGTAAAAGTGTTAACTATAAAATGTCGCGAGCAATACGAGTATATATTATAAAAGCATATGAAAATTTGATCCTTTGTTAAATGCAAGAAAGGTGAAATCTTTTCCAGAAAATGTGTTTTTGGCCTATTTCCAAGATTGTTTCGTTGTTCTTGTATGTAAATAAATAAACGTACCATTCTTACATATTTGTAGTTGCATTTAAATATTTTTTCTCATAGAGGATGATAAAAAATACAGACCACCTCGGGAGCAACACTATTTTAAAGCATAAGCGGCGTACTTTGAAGTACTCACAGCTTTCAGGATTCTACTTTAGATTCCCGAGCATGTCGCCCCGCTATGGATTCAAAAAACGCTCTCGCCTTTAAAATAGTTCTTTGCTCCCTTATTAAACAATCAACGAATTTTTATACGGAAAATGTTGCTAAAACAATTATTATTTACCTGTCAATTCATATGTTTTTAAGAATCAACATAACTTCACGAGACATAATTGTATCAAGGTTCTAACTACGATACGGTACGTATAATAAGAGCATACAATTTCACAGATCTATCCGCTTTAAGACCGTCCCACAGCCTCTCTCGAGCCAACGAACGCATGAGCCGGGATGTGCTCCGCTTGCCTTTAAATTTCCAAAGAATAGAGGGCGAATAATTATGTAATTATAGTACTTTTTTACGTAAAATACAAGTATTAAATTAAACTACAAATTGTAAAATTTTTCCTTAATATTAAAAGATAGCGACACTGGATTTTTTCAATAAAAATAATATCCCAGGAGTCGTAGCTTTTTTTGTCAGTTTATAAGAAAAATAACAGCTATTCAGTCGCCAACAAAAAAAAAATGTAAAACAAAAACCCGACAAAAAATACGCGTTCAATAAAAGTGTTATTACAACATTTCAAGAAAATTTTAAGGTCAAAATTGACTCAAAATATAAAAGCGAGATGAGCTACCGAGATTAAAAAAAGTGATTTCTTAATATTTTTTTTAAAACTATTTTTTTTGATTAGTATAGAGCACAACTTTCACCGAGTTTCGTAAAAAAATATTTGTTACCACGAAGATATGAGCGGTTTAATAAAACGCTATTTTTTACGGTTTTTTGCAAAATAAATAATAAATTTCTGTTTTTACGACTATTTTTTACAGGTTTAATAGTTCTACAACTTTTGTACTCAACTTATTTTCATTTTATGTCCCCATGACAGTGTAAAATGAGAAAATCCGTTTGGCCAACTTTGGGCCCAATTTACTATAGGCCACCGAGGTGATAGTTGTTTGTATTTTAATTTATTGAATTCTACGGGAAATTACTGATTTCTTACATATTTTTGTTTACTACGTAGTAAAAAATTGACATAGGACCAAAAACAGGCAGATCACACTATATGTGCGGCGCTACGGCTAGTCACATGAGTATTCAATTATTTTGTGGGGACTCCCACGTACTTTGGTCCTATCTGCTCTCGGTGTCCTCGGTTGTTCGGCGGAATTTTTCGCCACGGGACTTATTTCCTCGTCGGCGTTACTCGATGCAGTTGTAAGCGATATATTTTAGCGGACAAAAAAGTTCGTGGGACAAAAGTCCCTCGTCTGAGCAGGCCATAAAGTATATTCTCAACACCATAGATTTTCTAAATTCTTTAGGCGATTCCTCTCAGGCATGGACGCAATGATGTATTTATAACTTCTGCTTTCTTTCTTGTTTAGGTATTTAATTAAATCGTTATTCTGAGCGATTTTTATTCTCTATAATTTTAACATATCACATGATAACTCATAGATGAATGATTGGTCTCGCTTCACTCGACTAAATACCGCGCTGTCATAAAACAACAGCTCCGTAAATGCGGCAACTCATTATTGTAGTGTCTGTATGTCAATTTGCCAGAGTGCTATCGAATGTCATAAATCGTGTAGCCAGGTGCTCAACTGCTATCCGATTAATAGGGAAAATATTGTAGGTTGTAATTAATATGTACCAGATTATAAATGTAACTCATAAAATACTTAAAGAAGATGCACTTAATTAAATGCGAATATAGCAAAATTTTTGTGTACTTATACGATACGACGTAGGTTTCTTTTCCAGAAAAATGATTAGGCCTATTTTTTTTTATTTACATGTAATTTTTAAAAACATATTTATCTATATTATCAATAAAACGGTAAGAAATAAACTTTTACAACACATTTGCTCAAAAACTGCATTTACGGAGTTATGTTTTTATTTTTTAAGCATTAAACTGCTAGGTGTTTAAAAAAATAAAAACATACAGTACAATACATAACTATAATTGCTATTTCTTCTTTCAAATGTTTAATACTTGTATAAGTATTCATTTGACATTGTGGGTTACCTACAATGCGAAGAGATGGCGCTGCCTTGAAGTCTAAGGCTAGAGAAAATTCGACACGGCCATCAGGGTCACTGTAGCATAATGGTCAGTGCATTCGCCCGGATAGCGAAGGGTGCGGGTTCGAGTCCCGTCTGCTGCCTGGTCCGCGTGGATTTTTTTCTAGTAAACTTTTCTTTGCGTTTACGGAGATTTTATACATTGTTCGTAAGTTCAAAATAACGGGCCAGGGCGTGCGACAAAACGTACCGCACGCTCCCATACATGACCCCGTGCGTATCCTTTACGTTTTTTTTTTAATTTCGGTCGAACCTCCTTGGTTACGCTTATGTATTGTAGAGTCTGTGCGGAAAGAGAATGGGCGTGGCGAAAAACGGAACTAAGATTAAGATTTTTATTTGGCAATCAAACCAAAATCAAACCCAGCAATCTGTAAAACGTCAAAGTTTTGTATTGATAAGGATTTGTTTGTTGTTGTGATTTCTTGCGGTTTTTTGTATTTAATCATGTCTAAAAGGGGTAAAACCTTACAAATACGGTAGAAAAGCACTACAGCGCCCTCCAATCTAAATCCCATTCTCTTTCCGCACAAACGCTACCTTTGTTACACTTTAATACTAAAAATGAAAAGAGACGAAAGATACAGTTTTAATTTTCACCATCCGCACGTGGCACTATTTGGAAATGCGCGCCATTTAATTAATAGAAAAAGTTTGCTTCAATAAATAAATTACCTATACCTATTTAAGTAATAAAGCACTTTTACTATTTTCTCGCAAAAGTGTTGAAAGCGTTGTATGACATTCGTGCGGTTTAGGTATTTACAAACTCGTGACTGTCTCGTTTATAGTAACCAACTTACCGCACTAATATCATAAATAACTATTTGTTTTTTATTTTCCTCTTCTTGTATTAGTATTAGTTTAAAGGGAAACTAATTAAAATAGTATCTTTATTTTATCTAGGATTTATCAAAGTTTGCGTAGTTATATTTTATTTCAATACAAAGTATTAAGATAAGAGAAAAAAAATGTGTGTTTATTAATAAAACCAACGAATAAACACCAATATATTACATTTTCTTATATATTACGTACTAAATATGAATAATGTTAATCTTAACTATAAAGGTAATGTATGCGAACAGCTCGGAGTAGGACTTAAGAATGTTTTTAGGAAGTCCATGGGGAAAGGGAAGATTATTGTGGAATTCTTCTCCGCTGATATGGTGTTGAGCGACTGGAGGTATCGCAGCTGAAAATAAGATAAAGAATACATTCTAATTATATTTATGCTTTTAATACCTACACTATAATTAGGGCCGGATTTAGAGGTGTGGAGGCCCCGGGGAAACAAAAGAGTGGGGGCTCCTAACATCCCCTCCCCCTACTCACTGTTGTGGGGATCCCTCTCTTACAATAAGCTGTAAATGTTCCCATTGTTGGGACACATCCATTCATAGACCTTCCCTATGAATGGATACAGAAAAAGAGTCTATATCCCCAGTGGGGATTGGTGGGTGCTAACGACAGCAGATGCAGGCGGGCCTAACAGCTGAACATGGCTTCTGAAGCACAGAGCAGTTCAAGATAAAAAAAATTGGTCACCCATCCTAGATGATAGGCCATTGGGAATGTTACTTAATTTCCACAATCATAGATCGAACGCGCTGCCCACTGCCAGATCGAGCATCTTTAGTGTGAGTTGTGATAGTACAGGAATGAAATAGAACTAAAATACATAGTTTAAACATCTTCAGGTTTTATTTAAAGGATTATTTGTGTCCATAACATCCTTCTTCTTCTTCTAGTGCCTCTGTGAACAAGTAAGGTTGACAGTCACCTCTGCATAGATTTATTTTAATTTAGCGAGATGGAACTTAGACTTGGATGCCAAATTTGGTTTTGAACTGGAAAGTCCATTCTTGCAGGCTCCTGAACCAATGTTCTTCCTGCGACCGTCACCTCGTTTTCTAGCAATTATGCCCGTTTTCGTGTCTGCTCACTTGTTCTAGGTGCGCAACTAGTCTTAATCTAATAGTATTCCAAAGTTCGCTTTTCTTACCAACACTTCGCAGGACATAGCATCCGTTGAAACTTTACTTTTATCATCATTATCAGCCCGCAGCAGTCCACTGCTGGACATAGGCCCCTCCCATGGCACGCCATTGAGTTCGGTCTTCAGCTGTCCTCGTTCCAGTCAATACCGGCTGCTTTTCGGATGTCGTCGCTACATCGGGACGCACCAAACTACGTTTGCCGATTCGCGGTCACCACTCCAGGACTCGTCTGCCCCAACGGCTATTCGTTCCACGGTATACAAGTCCACTGCCACTTCAGCTTGCGCATTCGTTGAGTTGTCAGTTAAATATTTATTTTCTTAAAAAAAAGAAAACGCTGTGGTATATTACCTGTAAAGCCATAGGGTTATCGACCATGACTAGCGACGCCTCTCTTAAGGCCTTGGAGGCTTTTATCTCCCCCTCTGCGGCGATAATCTTCGCGCGGGCCTCGCGGTCGGCCTCTGCCTCTGCCGCCATAGCTCGCTGAAGCTGTACCGGTAAACGTACATCCTTGCTAGAAGAAAAGTTTTCATTAGTTAGTCATCCAGTAACAACTTATTGCTACTGATATTATCAATGTGAAAGTTTGTATATTTTGTAACTCAATAACGCAAAAACGACCGTACAGATTTGCATGGAATTGGCACAACTATATTTTTTATCCCGAGAATATGTTAGGTTCCTGAGAGATTCTCATAAAACTGAAATTATGAAGTCGCGGGTGGCGGGTAGTTCAAAATATAAGCTTAGGGCCAAAGAAATAATAGGATTTGTACACAATGGCAAATGTCTTTATCTCTTTATTGAGGAAACTTGTAGAATCGGATATCTTTGCTAGAAGCTCAGATCAATTAAAAAAGTATGGATGGAAATCTGCAAACAACAAAGTGAAGCCTGTTAAGAATAAGACTCACTTGTACGTATACAAAACGGCACACATGTAGCTACAACGAAACTATGCCTTACCTTGTCAATCGAGCTATGGCCATAGATTACTTAATAGTTACTATGTAACAATGGTACAAATCTTTAAGTATAACATTTTTGAAGGTTTAGTTTCGCCGTACGTTTAAAGCCGTTTTTCGGTGCAGAAATCAAAGTGTTTTATATTTCTGTCAATATTTTAGGAATATCGAATGGAATATTATTTATAAAAAAGTGTCTTACATCTCCACTCTTTCCACCTCCACTCCCCAGGGATCAGTGGCTTCATCTAAGTTGGCCTGCATCATGTGGCTGATGGCCTCTCTATCGGAGAGGAGTTGCGCCAAGTCACGCATGCCCAATACGTTCCGGAGCGTCGTCGCAGCTAACAATCTTGTGGATGCACTGGTAATGAAGATATTTTTGTAATATAAGTGTTCACTATACGATAGTCCATTGTCCGTTAGGGGTCAATCGTAAAGTACGTCACACTAATTTCGTGCACATAACCCCTCCCTCGTTCTTGTCACAGTTGGTCACATTTGTGAGACTCTCCCCCCTTCCCTATGTGTCGTCACATACATATATATTTATATTTCGATAAATAAAATAATAAACAAGCATATAATGAAAACAGCCCATTAAATATTTGAAAAAAATAACAAAACAATTTAACCATACACATAGGGTTGATTTTTTTTTATATTTAAATTGTGAATTGTGACGTCCCGAAACTTAGAACCCTCCCACTCTTTAACGTGTTACGTACTTTTTGGATTCCGCTTATGAACTTTTTACCGATAGAGTGAAGTAGTTATTAAAAAAGTCTTCTGCAAATATACCAATTTATAATAGTTCTACACAACGATATTTCAATGTTGAAATACAGGCAATTTAATGCAAAAATTAAACTTTCCTTTCGCAGTCCGCTAAAAACCTTAAAAAGATTTACATAGGCAGATTTATTAACAAAAATAATTATAATTTTTTGCACTAAAAATTAGCGAGTACAATTTGAACGTACGTACTAAGTCTAAATAAGGACTGATTGCCGTTTTTTTTAATAATCCACTGGTTGAACTCGAAATGCATTTTACTCGTATTGTAATACAGACTGCAATTCAATTTCTGAAAGGTACTTCAAACGTCTTTATACGCCTATAAACATGCCTTGTTCACATGAAAACAGTATCAAAGATAAATAAAAACAAATGCAATCGACCGATATCGCACTCATGAGTGAAGACATAAAGCGCTGTGCAATTTGAAACAATCAGATGCAATCTTTATGACAATGTAAGTATATTTTAGGAAATGTACAATTTATTATTGCTGTTATAGTTAAGTAGCAACTGTGTTCTGAATAATAAACCATTAGCATCACAAGAAAAGCTTTTGATGAAAAACACGATGATTTTGTTACAATATAAACGTGAAAAGATAATGTACTTAACACTGGCCTATTTAATGTCCTGAAGCAGTGCTAGAGATGAAATTATACTGGGATGTGTAAAAGAGCTTTTTAGAAGCCCATTTGCAGAAAATAAATAACTTTTATTTATAGATGCATCCAGACTGTATAACAAAAATTGTATGTAACTTGTTATTTGAACGAACAATGTTAGATCATGTGGACGTGTATGTAATAATAACAAAAGTCATATAAGAGATTATCTATACTTCATATATGTATAATCTGGATGCACCTTCAGAAAGCTGTATAATAACTTTTTATTTCCCTAAAACCTAGTTTTTCTGTATACAAGGCGTAAAAAAATACCCCACTCCACTCCACCTGATGTTAAATATATAAGTGGAGAGAAGTTGCGAAGACAGATGATGCGGCAGAAGGTTTACCGCTCTAGCCATGATCACCTGCCAGCATAAACCCAATCCCCTACCCCGTGGAGCCCTGGAACCCTACTCACCAGCAGAAATACAACACTACCAATAGGTAGTGAAATTTTAATGTGGTCTTCTGTAAGGTGGAGGTTACTGTTTCAATCAAATTTTATCCAATTTGGGCGGAAAATCCGCTGTGCACTACCTCGCTCTCTTAAATAGTATCTATGTCACTTACCTTTTATTTTGTGTCTGGGAAATGCCTTACGCATCCTTCAACCACTGGGGGAGCGAGGAGAAGGTATGTGGGACTCCTCCCTGTCCCCTTCAGCCAGCCCTGGAGCTCGCTGAAGTGAACAGGGCCCTACCTATGCCCTGAACAGGGCCACTAAAAACCAGACAATATTCCTGCACCGGCACCCGACACGTATTATGAGGACTGCAGTCCCCCCAGTGCGTGTCAAAGGGGTGGGTGTGGTCGCGGCACCTGTCTCCGAATGGCCGCGCGGTCTATGTCACTTACCTGTAATCTGCAACTCTGACGACGGCATTGAGAGGTTCTTTGATTCTGTAGTAGACTACCGCATCCACAGCCACAGTTACGGAATCTCTCGTTAACACCTAGAAAGAAGATACAAGTACTTATTGAAGTGAAAACTTCTTTAGCGGTGTTGTACACTTTTTTTGTATGTAGTAATAGATGTCGCTAAGTGCGCTTAAACGTGATTCATGTAAGTTGATTTTTCTGAGAGATAAACTTTTTTAATGTAATATAAATTGTCATGTTTGTGTACGATAGCGTAATAAATAAATATTGTATTCTACCACATAAATGATAGTACTTTTATACTGATAATTAAAGCAATTTGTTCAAAATTATTCCCTAAGCATTCCAAAATATCAAAAATGCACAACGTTAATATTCAAGTTTTTACTTCTGCCGACACTCCCGGAGTGCAACCCGTCGTTTTTTTTATGTACTAACTTAACGTTAGTTAACATGCCCGCAAACTCTACAGCGTGCACTTCAGAATTTGATTCTAGTAGTGGGACTGTACAGTTGTAGATTTACGAACCGATGGCGTAGCTTCTAGACATTCATGAGTGCTTGTAACAGCCTAAACTGAATAAATGATTTTGATTATGATTATTATTCCGGGTGAAATCTGTTATGTAATTAATTGTTTCAGTATGTTTGGGTAGCGATAATTATCTTTTAACATTAATTGGATTTGCGGCTCTAAATACTTGTATGATGTAAGTAAATCATTAGTATTTTCATTGCAAATAACAATTATAATCTTTGTTTTGTTGTTTATAAGTACTATATAACTGTATATTTCGTACCAACAAACGTGTTCTATGTTAATTTACTACATTTTATCGCCGAGAACAGGTGAGTTTGATTCCCACGACATTTTGAACTGGCCAAATGTCACATCGGTCGGTACACGGTCTCGCCACAGTTAAAAAGGATAAATTCAAGTTTCATCGGTTTTAAGCAAATCTAGCAAATCTACACTATAAATAATAATAATATAAATAAATCATTTTTATTTCAGGCACTGGTATGCATTCAAATACATGTCGCATAGATTATTAATTACAATTAAATCCACTTACGTTTCGTCAAAATTTAAATTAAACATTATTAATTACATACATTATTCTAACTCATTTAACTGTCAATCATTATTCCATATTGTATTAAACATTGTATTAATTTCTATTAAGTTTTCAGATTACAAAAATTGAAATCGTACATGTATAAAGTTCGAAAACAGCCGAAACAATGCTATTGGTACATTTTATTAGTCTATTGCTGAATGAGACTTTAAATCATAAGTTCATGAAAGTTTTTCACATTATAAATATTAAACATGCCACGATTGCGCTAATCTCCATGGCAACCCTAACATTGCACGAAACGCATTGTTGTATTGCACTCGCAGTGTATTAAAGTTTTATTTGTTAAACTTATACCAAAGGCCAGCAGTATAAAATGCCTGGCAGTATGACTTGAATAATGTCACTTTAACTTGTTCAGAACAACGTGAAAAACGCCTTGCTAGCAAATTGCTTTTCATAGCAAGATTTCTTCTATGTCTTTCCAGGTCCTCGTGATAAAGTATCAGTTAAGACGTGTCCCAAGTATTTAAACTGTGTTACAAAGTTAAGGGGCCTCCCACATAAAGTAACCTTTGGCACATTAGTAGAACCTTTACCACTTTTAAAAATCATTACTTCGGTTTTGTTGACATTATATTTTAAATAGTAATATAATATAAACCAAATTCGTGTAAGTTAGATTAGACCACTTATAACTCAAGAACGGCTGGACAGCTTTTATTGATCTATGTCTTTGTGGGATTATCTCCGCTCCGAATGACAGAATAACTATTAATATATCAGGAAAATTACTAAAAACGGCTGAATGGATTTGGATGAAATTTGGCATACATAAAGTTTATAACCTGGATTGGGATTAAGAATAACTTTATAAATATTTGCTTCGAGTCATGGTTGTTTAAGTATATCATTAGGTATATATTCCATAGGTACCTATGTTGTTTAGTTTCTATACTAGCGGTCGCCCGCGACTTCGTACGCGTGGTGTTAGTTATTTGCATATACTTTTTGACCCCAAAAGGGGGTTTATTTCTAAAGATACATTATTAGTACACCTTTACACCAGCTATAGAGCAGTCATGTTAAATTTCAAGTCTCTTACTTCAAAAACATAGGACTTTCATACAAACTTCCAACCCTCGTATTACCTTTAGGTGGAGTTTCGTGATAATAGTAGCCTATATGTTGACCCGACTTTTTAATAATATTCGTGCCAAATTTTAAGTAAATCCTTACAATATCTACTTTTTGAGTTTATCCCGGACATACATACATACAGACAAACAGACAAAAATTCTAAAAACTTTATTTTTGGGTTCGGTATCGATTGTAGATCACACCCCAAGTATTTTTTTAAAAAAATATTCAATGTCCTGTATTGACTTTCCATTTTACCATTTACCACAATTTTAATATATTTATAAGTATACCTATTTATACTGAATTTTTATATTTTCTATTGCTCTGCTTTGTTTGGGACTCAAAAGTTTTTGCAAGTTTTCCAGAATTTATTTATTTGTTAATAGACTACGATAATTAAAAAAATTTTTTTTTTTTTTATTGTTGATAGTGCACTTCGACGACATATTTTCGTCGGTCGAATTAAGTATTTTTAGTTAAGGTTTTAAGAATTTGCCTATTTCCTTTCTTTGATATATTTTATAAATTTTAAGGAAAACTACACAATGTTGTAGTTAGTTGTAATAACTAATCATAATACTTAAAACAGAACAAAAGTCAAATCAATTCATTTATATTTATGTTGATAATTATAAAACTTTTAATAGGAAACAGTTACGGGAATCGATCCATCTATGTAAACATGTAACAAGAATTATTCCCATTTCACTGGAATACATCCAGAAAATTAGGTCAGGTCTGCACACCGTCTATTCATGGCCTCCAGTGTCTGAAATCTCATAACAAACGTCTTCTCTGTCTAGGTGCAGATTTACCTAATTACTTTATTTGTAGACAAACCACAGACATAGACCGAAAGACCTAGATACCGCAAGTGTATGTAGGTTCTGTCTTGCCAAAATGGTGATCACGGATCCTCCTTTATCACTATTTTATTATATTATCTTTGCGTCACAGTTCTCGGCGCTGGACGTCAATTTTTAAAATAAGTGTAATTGTGCCATATTAAGCTGTTAAAACGATAGAATTGAAACGGGTAGCCAGGGTCCATGCTTTTCCGCCTATGACACACTCGCTTTGCATACAAGTGGAAGCACATGCGTCTGAGCGTTATCTATTTAAATCTAGGTCTGTGAAACAAATATATCAAATGAGAATGAGTTCAATATAAGGTGATGCAGAAACCTATTTGTATTAAGTACTAATGTGGATTTTCTATTCATGCTCATAACTAGGTTACTAAATTAATAATAGTAGATTGTTGACTAAAGGTGCAAAGAACTATTTTAAAAGCAAGAGCGTTTTTGATCGTACATAAATCTAAAGATAACTGACAAATTATCTTTATTCATCCTTTGTAACCTCAAAAGAACATAATGAATAACTTGTATTACCATATAAATCATCCGGATATTAGGATTAGAAATAATTCCAGAGATTCTTTCCCAATTCTTCACTGCGAAACAAACATTGAATTCAAACGTACAGTCTGCAAATTATTGTACAGGTATAATCAAATTCAGAAAAAAACACGATCATTCAGACGCTCACCGCACCGCAGACAACTAAAAATACAAGAATACGCAAACATAAAGGCCACGTGGCTGCAACAAAATACCACCCAATCACTCGGTAATAATGTACGTATTGAAACACTAAACACAGGGCTGTCATTACTTGCATATTAATAGTATTATTGATCAGAGCATATTAATCAAATAATCCCTAATAAATTTGATAATAGTGTCTTATAAAATTTGATAAAGTTTTGCCTCTATTTTTCTTTCTATTTTTCTTTATTTGTCTTGGACTGAAATACCTTCGTATTTGAGGATTATTATAAATTAAGGGCTCTTTGGTAATAGCCACCGAAACTGGTAATGGACTTGATGGATTGATGCTACAAAACTTAGTTAACTTAGTCAAAATTTTGAGTAAAATTATACCCCAAAACTCTTGTGAATTGGATTATAATAATATCAAGCAACATGTCAGTGAATGCACTGGCATTAATAACAATCTTAATGCTATTTACCAAAAGGCGTTGTCTAAAATCAAATTAAAAGCACTACGAATCCTTAATGTACTATTTTAGATATGACTAAAAGACTATTAAAAAATAATAAAAATAAAATAAATATTTCCAACACTAACACCAATTAGCCTAGCCCCAAAATAAGCACTGTAAGGCTTGTGTTATGAGATAGGGTAACGGATATCTCATCTCACTAATATTATAAAGGCGAAAGTTTGTGAGTGTGTGAGTGTGTATGTTTGTTACTTCTTCACGTCTAAACGGCTGGAGCGATTTTAATAAAATTTGATAAGGAGTTAGCTGACACCCTAGATTAACACATAGGCTACTTTTATCCCCAAAAATGTTAGGTTCCAGAGGAATTTTCAAGGAAATAAGTTAACGCAGACGAAGTCGCGGGCGACCTCTAGTAATACATATACTGTACATATATAAGTATATTTATATAGAAAAATACATATTAAACTCCATCACTGGAGTACAAATGCTCGTATTCATCACACTAACATCTGCCCCCACCGGGATTCGAACCCGGGACCTCTCGAGTCGGCGACACCGTGAAAACCGGCGTACAAACCACTCGGCCACGGAGGTCGTCAAACTATTGTTACCGATATGCATAAGGCAGCCCTATTCCAACCCAGTTGTCTGAAATTCAGAACGTTGACGATTAATTGATGTAGCTACGAGTCATCATTCAAGTTTAACTGCTAGTTAAATAATCGGGCATCGTGAATGATAGTTTCAAACCTGCGACCTACTTACACACATAATACAAATAGTACTGTAACGTCCGTTACGTTACAACCTCCTTGTTTAGGTAAACTCTTTGTTCATGTAATGCCTACGGCTGGTAGTTATATTAAAAAGTTAATGTCATTATTGTAAGATTTGAAATAAGGAATCATCTGTCTTTTGATAGAAGGTTCCATACAGCAGATGAACTTCAGGCACCAAACCTTTCGTAGTTAGATTAAAAACTTGTATTCGCCAGAAATCTAATAAATCCAATATAAAATCAAGTTTCTTTTAATAAATCGCTACGTCCCTAGGTTCTATCCACTCAGGCTAGAACTCCGCAGTACTAACGCACAATAGTTTATATTTCCGTTATCTTCTACGATACAATACAACCACGATCATAACTTTAAAATTCTAACACCTACTTGTATTATTTCAACAGGTCGATGCAGTCGCTTAGCATAAAACTTCGTTAGCACCAGATACTGGAGCGGAGCGTGATATAATCATAGAGGTATAAGAACAGAGTAGGGGAGATATAGACTCTACTACAAGTGGAAGTGTCCCTCCAATAGAAAGAGAAAGAAGATGAGAGACCTCAAGCTTTCTCTCTCTAATTGGGCATGCTCATTGGCAACCGTATGCATCTTACTATTTCGATGTGATGCCATTGGATGCCATGCGTCACAAGAGAGAGAGTTAGCTAGCGGTATCTCATCTTCTTTCTCTTTCTACTAGACGGACACTTTTAGAGCCGCCTTCCCCACTCTATTCTTATAGCTCTATGGATATAATAATCATTTTTAATAGATCACTCATTAGTGTTACAGCAGTAAGCGCTTTTTGATACAATGGAAAACCCCATAGATACCGTGATTTTCGTTAGTATTGTTTTTTTGGGAATTTCCTAATATCCGATAGGACCCTGTTAGAATTTATTAAATGCACCGCCAGTTTCAACTGTTATCTTCTTCTTTTTTTTAGATAAATAAGAATAATTCACCGAAATGTATGTAAGTACGCTAATAACTTCCGGGCGACTGCACTAAATTGGATAATTCTTTTTTTGTCATATCTTTTCGAAAAGAAGTAGTTTGTTTTCTGTTTACAGCGACCAAAATAGTTTTGATCCCAAGGGACCAAGTGTGATTTGAATTAGGAATGTGGATATTGTTAGTAAAAGTTCCAATCGCCAAAGAGATTAATCACAAACATTTTATGAGCAAGTCACAGCATTGCTTGTGAAAATATACAAGCGCGTGAAAAACATTCTGCTTCCGTTCATAATTGTTTACTCAAAGTCGGATTTATAAGGTTTTATAAAAAAAATGTGTCTTTCTAGAGTAGTAAGATTGAAAGTATGCTAAAAATGTGATACTAAGTCTTTAACCTACAAAATTATGCATATTATAAAACGAAAAAAGCATAAGAAAATTTCATTGTTTGGAAAAATGCGAGAAAGGTGGAAACTTCTTTTGCAAATTTCTTGTATGTACATATTTAAACGTATCTATTTTCTAACATATTTGTAGTGGCATTTACTTATTTTCTTATAGAAGGTGAAGAAGAGTGTCCACCTCGATACTTTGAATCCAGAGCGCAGCGAAGGATGTATGTATATACTTGCATTAATAAATTCAACCCAAACCAAGTAGACGCAGAGTATAAATAAATAAAATAAATAAATATTTCTAACACTCACACCAATTAACCTAGCCCCAAACCCCAAAGTAAGCACTATAAGGCTTGTGTTATGGGATACTAGGGTAACGGATAGAATACATATATTGTACATATATAAGAATATTTATATAGAAATACATATTAAACATCCATGACTGGAGTACAAATGCTCGTATTCATCACACAAAGTGTATGCAACAACTATTGTGGCCGCTTATCATCAGTCCATACGCTGGTTTGCCACCTTTTTAAAATAAAAAATATATCAAACATCTCAATTACTTAGCAATGAGAAATATGACAGCCAATAGTGAAATTATATCTGTTTAATAACGCCTTTTTTATTTTTTCTTTATTAGCTCACAAAACAAGTTACAATTAAATATTAAAAATCAAAGCAATTACAATGATATATATTTATTTATATGTGTATGTTTATGTATGGTTATATGAGTATTTTATATATGTGCATCAATTTGTATTTAAGTATTATTATTTTATTGCTGTTATTTTGATATTGTTCATTTTATTTATTTTTTAGCAACTTTGCTCTATCGCCATACTATTTGTCTCCAACAATCATACTGGTTGACTGGTAGAGAATGCCTATGGCATTAAGTCCGCCGTTTGCTTATGTTTGGCAATAGAGTTTAAATAAATAAAAAAATAAAAATAATATAAAACCAAACTGTAAATCTCAATATGTGGGCATAATATGATAAAATTTTATGGGCTGAAGTTTACAGAAAAAAATAAAAAATAACATCGAATTTCAACAATTAAACACAACAAAAAAACACTTAAAGTGAAGTACAAATTAACTGTTATTTTTTGTTAATGAAGTAAGAATCTTTGGACTATAGCGTTCGTTCTCAATTACATTGTTTTTTACCCAAATAGAAGCCAAATTGAAATGTGAAGCAATCCCAATGCAACAGGAAATTCACATCCGACTGAATCGTAAAGATTGTGAAGTGAACATGTGGCGCGCTACCACTTTAACAAGATCGAGGTGCATCAGAGCAAAATGTGCCTTAAAAACTCTGTAAAAGAGTTCAATTCGCTGTCCGCTGATACCACTGCTTGGAACTTTTGTTTAAAAAAATTTTCACCTAATTCGGTGCTGATTGGTAGCGACAGGAAAATATACATGTAGTCCAGGAAATGAATCTCAAAAAACGAGTAATTTTTTCGTCTTGCATCGATTTGCATAAAAATTTGGAATCAGGCTTATCTTACCCTCTACCTACTTAAAAATCTATATCATGCCGGTTTATTGGTTTTTTAAGGGTGAAAACTACCCCTAATTGTCAAAACTTATAAAATGACATGTTAAACCTTGAGATGGGTAAAATTTGGTTTAGTTGAATGATGATTGTTTTATGCTTTGGAATACGTTTTCAAAATATTTCAATACTAAAAAATCAACCCTTGTTAGAGATTACTGAACACTAATAGATTTAAGTACACAAAAAATATAGCTTGACAGAGTTATTAATTAAAATTGTAACTGTCTGATATATTACCAATTTCATAATTTTGCAAATATTCTGAACTTTAAAATTTAATAGATATCAATAAGAAAAAAATCGAGAAAAAGTGGTCGTCGTCATCCTCATATTCTTCTACTACTAGTGTACTATTATTGAAATCCTTACCAGTACCTCTAGCACGAACCATTATCGAATTCGAATAGTTTGCAAACCGAAATGTCAATGTCAAATTTTGTATGGAAACTTGAGCAGCAGCGGCACAAAGTACGTAACGGGAACTAAAAATCAGTACAGATTTGACAATGACATTTCGGACTCGCAAACATTACGAATTCGATTTTGGTTCGTGCTAAGGGTACAGAGCATCAAGAACAAGTCGATTGCAATGTAATCGGACCTGACATGAAACGTAGTACCGTTTTTTACATTGACTAAAATCATTTTAAGAAGTTCTTCAACTGCAGTCGGTTTGTTCATTACAATGGGGTGCAATGACCTTTTGCCTTCCTTCAAGAACCAGCCTCATCTAATGGTTGAATTCTTTTGTTTCCAATCCACTGTTGGATTTGAAACTAACTTTAGACACGAAGACACATGAGTAGAAATTTCTTCCTCTCTGTATCTTGAAATAAATGTGAAGAATTTCGAACGGGACTACGAAGCATACCGGTTATGAAGATAAAATTATGCTCTGAAGTGGAATATTCGAATTTATAGAAAAAAAAAATGATTGGTTTTTTAAACATAGCTTCTTAATTATTAATGATAGAAAGTTTTTTTATACATCATTTTGTAGAGTTTTTCAAGAGCTAACTACAAGGATATGTTAATGAAATCTCTTAAAATCAAGGAGACATCAGTATTATAAAAATTCTGATGCCGTCAAGGGAGACAACAGTCCGACATCTTTTCAACTAACATGTCAAATACCTTTCATTCACTGACCTCTTGAGGTGGAACATCGAATGACACAGTCCGCAGGTCGACTTTCCTGTAAGTGTCAATGCATGGCAGCACGAAGAATAGGCCCGGACCCCGCGCGCCGCCCTTGCGCACCCTTCCAAGCCGGAATATTACAGCTCGTTCGAACTCTTGAACCACCTGGAATATTTTTATTTAAGACAATTATCAGCGTTAAAATAATATAGATATTGACTACTTGTAAGGCTAATAACAGATTTTCATTAAGTAACATAATCATTACCTGTAGTTGGAGAACAGACAGACAACATCATTTAAATACGGAAGTATCCCTATGGCCTCGCTCAGTGCCTTGGCCTCGCTGGGCGGGGTGCGTCCTAATGGTGAATCGTCCGCCCGACGAGATCATAGCACATCCCATCGGTGAGATGAGGAGTATCGACAGGTTTTTAGTAGGAAGGGCCTCTTCCTTTCGAGCACTCGTTGGGCCAGTCCGAGGACTGGCTGAGTAGTTGGGCGAGCGGGGAAGGAGTTCCACATACGCACACGCACTTCCAAGACGGTAAGGTATGCGTCATGCATTTTCCTGACGTTTAAAAAAAGCAAGCCAGGTCAGGACTTCTGGAGCTACCAGGAGCGGCACACTTTTCTGCTACTTCAGCAGTAATCGTCATGACTGGACGTGGAGTAAATTAATCCAGCAGAATAGTACATGAAATTGATTCACAAATCAACCTTGGACATTTCCAAATTGCAAATTATTAGATCGCTGCAAACTGTTTCTGGGGAATAGTCATACAATCGCATTAACTAATTTATGGTGAACTGAATGTGTTGTGACATATCCGTAATAAGAGCAAAACCTAACTGGTTGAAACCTACTATAAATATTGCTTTTACTGTAATCTAATAGCGTCAAAGTTGTTAATGTCAAATTGTGTGTTACTGCCGGTGAGTAAAGTTCTAGGGCTCCACGGGGTAGGGGGTTGGGTATCCCCAGCATTTATATCCTAAGGTGGCCGCTTACCGCTCATCGTTATAAAAAATACTTCAAATTAAATTGTTGTGTTAGATATAGTGAAATGGCAATGGCATCATCAGAAATTTTATCAGAAACTGATGAAAGTCGCTACATTTTGTGTAATTTGGCAAAAAATAATTCATGTCGGCTGTTATTTTTATTAATTTTGTACAATGGATTACTAAGGTGGTTAGTAAAATTTGACTTTTTTCAGAATATTTTAATTTTTAATATGTGTATTTTCAACACTGTATTTACGACCTACCTTGAAACACTCGAACAATGAGAACGGAAAGGTGATGACGACCAACAGGAATGAGAGAAATGTTGCGAATCTTTCTACGCAGCCGACCGCTTCAGGATTGGCTGCAATAATATATTATTATGTTAAAAAAGTGTTTTGAGACATGGTAAAAGTTCTAGTGAGGTTTGTGAAAAAAGGAATATAAGAAAGGCTGATCTTTTGGTATGATATTATTAAATAATAATACCTACAAACATATGAATATTTCTGTGTATTTTATGTCTTCTTTTATTGATATGTAGATAGTAGATGATTATTTTATTTTGGGATTAAATCATCTAAATTTAAATAACTCATGTTACTGTCACCAATAATAATAAATCAATTGGTCATGCAATAAAATAAAATAAATATCTGGAAAGAACTTTCTTTCATTTATATTTTTAGACAAAAACAACTACAGTAATACGTTTATTAACTTAAGTACTTACGCATTTGTATCGTGATAGCACAAGAAGTTCCCGTATCACAATCTAAAATATTTAAACGCAAGAAATTATGTTTTGCTTTTGACTCGACAAATGCATCTTTATATAAAGTGACAAAGTTTACACACGGCTGGATACGTTGTCTCGTCTAGTACTTATCGTGCGTAGTTCCGTAGCCATATCCGTTCACATGAGCTCTGTTTATTTGACCACTAAAAGGGACTCCCCGTGAATGCTAACAATCGCATCGGCCGCTGACATACACCGACTAACTTACGGACAGAAGAGCACATCTGTTTACGCGACCCAAAACGTGAGAGCCAACTAAAAATATCAATTACAATGGCCATGCTCCTAAATAATCCTAAAGGTGATAAATCGTGGAGGATTGAAAAGGTATTTACGTATTTCTAGGTAGCACTCCACTTCGCCAGAATCCTTGTCATGGCAACCGAACTCCATGGGCGCGAGGAATGTCAGGCGACACATTTAGTGTTATACTTAAGTGGCGAATGGTGTCTCCGACGCGATGAGTAAATTGGTACTAAGATGCCAGAGTTCATGTTGTTTTAAAATATAAATAAAGAACGCACTTTCTGCCATGCCTGTAGCGGCGCGGCCGCGCGTCTTGCTTGCCGCAGAACTCCAGTGTGCGAAGCTAACGGGAATTCGGAAGAGATTTTATAGCAGGATGTTTGGATAAACCACTTTGGCCGATAGATTTGTTTAACTACGGATATTCTTGGATAATGTAACGTTTTTGATAGGTGAAGTTTAGGCGATGGTATTGTTATTCAAAATGACCTTATTATGATGGTCGTATTTGATATTTTTCTGTTTGTTAATGAATTAAAATTTGTCGCATTGAAAATAAAGTACCTACCTGATTACTACAAGGTGAAAGATATGGCAAATAATGATGTGCCTATATCAGACACCAGATTCTCGCATTACTCTGCAATAATTACTTGTTGTATTTACTTGTTATCATTGACGTGAGGTGAATTAAGTTTTTATTATTATTTTATTTGCAGAAAAATACTACAATAATATGATTTTTGTTACCTATGTATTATTCCGCACATACAATAATGCGAACGAAATCAGATAATACAATATCGCAGCTACCAACTAAGCTTTCCGAGCGGAAATAAATTTTAAGGAAGCTGCCAGATTTAATTGCATTTTTCTATCTGCTTTACTCTAATTCGTAATATTTAGGACATGACGTTAAAAAAGGTATCTATAGCCAAGACAGGAATAGAAGATGTCGTTTACAGAGAAATAATTTGGAAACGGTTATCCCACACCAGTTCTTGATAGACACTGATGTCCTAATAAATCTGTTAAACGGGTCACCTTGCCCGTCCATATCGACATCTTTGATCTCATACGCAGTGTTGCCAACTCTACGTCTTTTTACGTAGATCTACGTATTTTAGGCCTTTTCTGGAAACCTACTAACTTCAGTCCCAGAATCTACGTATTTTCTTAATTTTTTTCAAATTTGTAAAATAACTTAATTCACTAGAATAAAGAAGAATATTATCCGTTAATTTACTTAAAAACTATACAAATGTTTATTTCTTATAAAGATGTATCTAAACACTCTTGTATCTTGTAGAAAAGGTTCCCGTTATTGGTTTTGTTGACTAAATTAATGCTGTACGCAGGATTTGTGAAAGCAGAAACGACAAAACTCTTTGACTTAGTAGGTACATTCATAACCTTAAAAATTGTATTTTAAACTTTTACTACTATCTATGAGTACCTACTCACATTGAATTGATCTTAGCAAAAAGAAAAGACCTTCAGTCGATAAAGTTACAGGATTTAGCAAGTTTTAAGCATATGTTCATGTGTAAGTATGTTTTTTCTCTTGGCAATTTAAACCACAACTTTTCTAGAGTCTTTTACCAAGTGTATCATGATAACTACTATATTTTTCATGTGATCTATTAGAAATCATGGTTTTATAATATTCACTTAGCTGTTTATTTCCTACGTGCTTGCGAGTTGTTTATAAATGTTTTGTCGTCATAGCATAGATAAGTCTATAGACTAAAGAGCGTTTTTGTATGTTTTCTAGGTAAAAAAAAAATTCTTTTTCGTTCTGATAGAACAATTATTAACAATTTAAAACATAATTCCAAAAAGTGTCAACTAGCCCATTTAACAACAGTTTATCCTTGTCATTCTCTATACAGAATGAAAAGGAGAGACTGATGTTAAATTAAGTTTTAAATTTAGAGAACCATCTAGAATCGGCACCCACCAGTGTCTGTGTCTGATGGTAAATGTTTACCATAGCATGGTAAATGCTTCCAAATTTCCAATGCAGCGACTTCTCCAAGAACTCTTTGTTCTATCTCCCGTTCTTATACAAATTGTATAACAAAATACTCGTTTTATTCGGTTTCAAATAACTTCTTCATTTCACTCAGAAAAAAGTACGTAGATCTACTTACTTTTCATATGCAAAATTTACCAATTCTACGTAATTTTCACATTGGGCCTACGTCTTTTTCAAAATCCGAGTTGGCAACACTGCTCATACGTCCCAGGTTTACGTGTGGTATTTTAGTCTATTGCTATAATATCAACATAGTTATCAACGCTAGCTGTGCTAGACTCGGTTTGTTTGGTCATATCCATCAATGACTTATATCGTCATTACGTATTGTTTATCAATAGGTACCTATATACCTGTCTTATATAACAAACTTTTTAGTGGTAAAGACATTTTCTCAAATACTATAGGCGTTGTCAAATCATAAATTATTTCTAAGTTAAAATATTAAACATAGATAGATATATAAATTGGTCTCTTTCGTCAACAGAAGGGACACTAATCATGTATCTAAGATAACATTAATAGCTGCTTTGCAACAATCTCACGCTACCTGGTATTAATAATACATACATGTATATGGTACACTTACATATTTTAGCTTATACAACGACGGTTTTAGTTAAAATTGTACCTATTTTAATTCGCAGGGACCTGTTATTGGCCAATCTTGTTACTTAGTACGATTATGTAATATCAATTTGTAGCGTTGTTGGTTTCTCAAAAACAAATAAATAACATTTCAAACGTTATCCTTTTTTCTTGGGAATTCTTATACGCATTAGTATGATTTAAAAGATAGGTACGGTATGTCGATGTTGTCTGGACATGCTCAGTTTGAACTAATACTGGTAAATTTTAACTTCCTTTCCTCAATTTTATTTGTTTTTTTACAAATGTGCATTCGCTATGACACTACATCCGGGGGCAGGGAACGATCTGCGTACCATTTTTAAAATTATCAGTTCTATTAAGATCTGTTAGTCTTACTGGTGATGCTTAAATAATTGTCTGTATATGCATTTAGAAGTTATGAAATTAACAATGGCGGAATAGAAAAATTGCACATACATACACGTACATTGCTCTGGTCCTTCTGGTAGTCGTATTATAAAAATCAATCCAGAACATAAAGGCTTTATAAAAAATGTTAATAAATATCCTTTGAAGTTTCGTTATAATAATATTTGTTTGATTTGAAATACCAACCTTTAATTGAGGGGCAATCTTTTTCAATGTGCTAATATCAATTTGTTTGTTTTGACACTTTCATTCATTTCGAGTTTTTATAAATAAAAACTCATATAGATCTCAAATAACCGTCGGATTCACACCAATAGTGTTTCTTGTGATATTTATGAATGGTTTATGAATGAATTTACGTGTCGGAATCATTGTGTTATTGTTTGGTTTTAACATCGATTGAGGAACATAATGGATCTTATGAATCCAAGGCATATTAGCCTAAGAATGGCATATTAGCCAATAATTTGTTGGATATTTTCTGATAATGATGATGTGTTATACTTAAAAAAATAGAAATGGATATTAATATTTCATATTCAGAAATCAAAAAGTATGAAAGAAAATCAATCTATACAATGTGTTCAATACGTGAGTACCGACCTATACAACATACATAGTTCAAGTTTCAAATTCAAAAGTATACTGTTTTTAAAATTATATCTCTAGAAAGTATGCGTACCATTGTATTATTGGTATAAACTATCATAAATAACGAGGAATATTTTACCCTGATATATTGCATCATCAGCCTATTAATGTACTCACTGATAGGGCACAGGTCTTCCTTATGAATGGAATAGGGAGATTGGGCCATGACCCACCACGCGGGCCCAGTGCGGATTGTTGGGTGCTAATGACTGCAGATGCACCAACGCATTAGCGTGCCTTCCAAAGCACGGAGGAGCTCCAGATAGTAAATTTTTGGGCACCCATCCAATGACCGACCACTGCGAAAGATGCTTAACTTCAACGATCGCAACCGCACCCGCAAACCACTTGCGCCATCGAGCTCCCCGATAAATTGCATCTTAGATATATTGGATACAAAAAATGGTCAAAGTTATGTCAACATACTGACGGACTCATAGTTAAATAATAACGGCTCTCCAAAAACAAGGAGCCTTGATGTAGATATTATCTAATGTAGTAATCAATTGAAATGTATGTATGAAATAACAATAAGTCATAGTCACATTTTATACTAAAGGTTACATTGGTACTCGTATATTGACATAAATATTGTCGTCATAAATAAGCAAACCATTAAATTTGTAATCTTCGCATGCGCGCGCAGGATGCGTAGTGATCTTTAGGACTGGTATGATCACCATTCATGTAGCTCTGACCTTTGGTAGAGTTTAAGCCTTTTATCGATAAATGAAACAGGTAGCTCTATCCACTTACAAACTTAATTTGGATTAAGTATAAACAGTTTTATCATTATGAATGTGAGTTTAAAAACAGATTTTGTCTATGTTTCAAGTAAAGAAATTAGGAAGATGTTCATTGAATAACACGTTGGTGTAGTGAAAGAATTTTTTTGCAATTCAATTTGCATGCAATTATTATTTTAAACTTGTAGATTGCCCTCGTATCGCTTCGGTGTATACTATAGTTTTTGTTTTCTGGTCATACATTATACAAATGATTTATATGTTAATATACATATATTATTCGTAAAAAAGTTTGTCAGTTATAGAGAAAATCGAATTAAAATTATTTCAAGAGTTTTTCAGATCATTGCATACAAACATACATAGCTTACTTTTTTTTTAAAAATATCTAAGGATTAATAAGAAAATGAGCTGCTCTGTTTTTATCTCATATAAAAGACTTTAATTGCACAATTAAAGACGTAAATTTTTCTTGATAAGGTTTAAAATTCAATTTATTAACTATTTATAGCCATGCCAAACAGTAAATTGATTGACAAATATGTATCCATATGCTATTTTTAAGGCACCGGTATCAGATTGTTCGAGTTCAACTAAGCTTTATGTGGAGTCAAATATTTGACCGATTTTCTGTAAACATAGCTTGAAGTTAAAGTTAGCGTGGAAGTTACCTAAGAACCATTTCATATTTCTATGAATGGATTGATCGGTATTCATATCAAATTACTCTACATTTCAATTTGGTTTGGTAATAATTACCTATTACAAATTACTTTATTAGGTTTCCGTACCCAACTCTGTCGTCTGTCTGTCAGCCTGTCTATATGTCACGGGTCTCTAGATCGTGAATGAAATGAGTTACAGAACTGAAATGTTGGTATTTTATGTAGAATGCTTGCCCAAAGTCAAATATTTAGCTAAAAATCAATTCAATTATTTTTCATTAGGGGCCCATACATGAAAAGGAGACGTTATTTACATTTTGGTGACAAATCCTACTTACTTTGATGGTGACACATTGTAAGTAGGATTTGAATATAATTTTCATAATATTTATTTTCAATAACAAAGAAATGGCCGTCATAGTTGTAATTTTTGGACCATTTTCGAAAATCGAAACTTATTAAAAATTTGAGATTTTGGAATTTGATGTAAACATTAAATTCTCAGATTGCATAAGCTGTATTGTAGGTTGTTTTTGTTTGTATAAGAATAGGAAGGAGCGAGCGATTCTGGAACAAGCCCAGAGTAAACTATCTCAAGCGTTGATCTAGCACTCCAATTGCGATTTATCGATGTTTATAACGTTATGTATTGCATTCCCTAGAATATTTAGAATAAGACAACATTTTAAGCATATTTTTATTATAATTATAAATATCTCTGTCAGTGTTTTAAGTAGGTAACAAATAAATATTTTAGCACAGTTAAGACGGTTCATAAAATATTCAATTTTATGTTTATGATCAGGTACCTTCGGCAAGCAAATAAACATTGGTTTATTTGTTTGATTTTTGTCTCAGAGAAAGTTGAATAAAGTATAGAAAGAAGTTATATACCTAGAAATCGTAACATAAGGGTTTGTAAAATTGTCTTTCGTTTTCGGACAATGTCAAAAGTTTGATTTGCATAATATGTATATTTGTATGGACTTAAAACAATATTGGTTTTAATAATTTTATCGTTTTTATTTTCGCTATGTGAGCTTTCGAATAATGTCATGGCCCAATCTCCCTAATCCATCCATAGGGAAGGCCTGTGCCCCAGCAGTGGGGACATTAATAGGCTGATGATAAATAATAAATAAAATAATAAAAAACTCTTTATTTAACACCACAAAAAATATATATATAAAACATACATAATTGCTGCTTACAGTGTAAAAATGGGCGGTCTTATCGCTAAGAGCGATCTCTTCCAGACAACCTTAGGATGGAGAGGACAAGAAAGAAGCTGGAAAGACGGCGGTGTAATTAACTGCAATAATACCCAAGAAAATCTATGTACAACCCGAGTATATAAAACAAATAAACACATATGTACCATATATAAGTCTAATTCGGTGAGAGGAAATAAATACAATAGAAGAGCTATAAGGACAGATAGTGAGATCTTAGAAGGTTTTTGAATCTGTGCAGAGATTCTGCACATCTAATGGAAACTGGAAGCGAATTCCATAGGAGAACAGCTTGCACTGCGAATGAGCGGCCATAAAAAGTTGTTCCGTGCACAGGTGTAATAAGAGCAAAATTTTCTGATGACCTTAGGGACAATGTGTTAGAGGTGTGAAGGAAGTTAAAACATTCCTTAAGATTTTGAAGGATTAATCAACTGGGACTAAGTGAATTATATCGGTCAAATGTGGAGCAAATCTGCTCAACCATAATGCACGCAATATCCGAGAGATTAAAGTTTATTCCTTTATGTTTGTTTGTTTTATTGAGCGCGCGCCAGTATTCGTAGACTTTTAGCTCGATCGATTTATGTATAAGCAAATGTTGGCTGTCATAACCGCTACATAGTAATTTGAGGCAATATTTTGAACTTTTTTATAATTGAATAGTAATTTAAAACTATTATTCGCTCCTAACCGCAATTTAATTTCAACTTTTAAGACTGATACTGAAAAGTGAATTGGTTAGTGTTACAGTGTTTAGCTAAACTTCGAAATTTTCATTGTAGTCACGAGAGACCAGTAGAGCTTTGATCAGATTCGCTATGAGCATTTTAGAATGCTACCATATTATTGGCGTGAATCTTCTTTTCGAACGGGGTGGGGGGAAAATCCTATGGAAAACAGGAAACGGAAATGTGTTACGTGCGTCACCCGACTATAATTATGTGTTTGTGTGTGTGGGATGCGTGCGCAGCTCTTCCCAACGAGCATGAAAGTTGGAAGGTAACTCGGCGAAGGCTGAAACGCTACCAGCGTCACGAGCGTCATACGCGACAATATATATATATATACATATACATATATATGAGTGATACGTGCCACCATTCCCCTATGCCTTATGCACCACCGCCTAATGTTAGGTTATTTAAAAAAGAAGTTTCACTTCAGATGAGTGGTCCGTATTTATTATATAAAATAATGTCGTTTTCTGCGTCTGTATGAAATTGTTAATTCCTCCTCGAATAAAAAGATTTTATGTGGTTTCTTCATCTATTACATCAGTTTTCACGAAAGGTTTTATGTATGCTTTAAAGAAAACCTTTAGTCTACATTACAGTGAGCGAGCCAATACCGCATTTCTTTTTATAAATAAATCTTTCCCATAGAAAGTTTTTGCCCGATAAATGGTTACGCCAGGCATTCGGCTAGGCCATTTTCACAAGTGTCTAAGATAGCAACTTTCCCTCAAGCAGGCCATATTACGCTCGTCTGCCATACCAATTACTCTACGTAAAAAACTGTATACATAGTATTGTTGGAATTTCACTTCTTGCTTTTAGTAAATTTAACAACAGTCATATCTCTTCTTTTCCTTTAAGTATGATGATAAGGAGATCGAAGATATTGAATCCGGATTCCAAAGAGCAAATACGAATTATCACGTGAAGAGAGCATTATTGAACCTTGCACTTTAATCTAAGCCTGTACGATAGAAACCCAGTGTTGTTTCTGATTAGAGTTAGAACAAGAGGCATGATCCACCTATCCCAGTGTTACATAGCAGCAGGTGCATTCGGCAAGTGCATTTTATGGTGGGGTTCCGAGTATAAATGCTTATAATAGTGACATGCGCTTGCGCTGTGAACCCGAGTGCGTTGTCAACTATCGAGCGCGAACATGCGGGTGAGTTGTGTAACAAATAGCTAGAAGGATTACTGCAAAGATAAATTTCAAGTCCTTAATTTAAATAAAATCAGAAATCGAACTGTGACCGTTTACTGTATACTAGCTAACCCGGCGAATTTCGTATCGCTTACGGTTGGAGTTTCTTAACTTTTAGCTTAATTTAGGGTTCTGATAACGAAAAAAAACATTAAAATAATTTTTTAGGGTACTATATATAAAGAAAATGCAATGAATTAGTCCATGGGCAAAACTTCATATAATATAATGAGAAAATTATGTCACAGGAAGGCGTCAATCTGTCACGTCAAATATGATTGTTCAGAGAATAACATGTTTGTTTCCAGGGATACGCACACTTAAGCAAAAATCTACCTTTTTAAAAATGGTTGTGAAAAAATAACCTCATGCTGGTTCACAAATCAAATTGGCTGATTGTACGAACATAATCTTTCTTTCACTGGAGTGTCAGCAAGATATTTGTTTTTTTTTTGATGCATAGGTTAGACTTGGACTAATTTTGTTAACTAAATTATTCGATTAAGGAAACTATATTTCTCTATATAAATCGAAAAATTTTGTTGTAAAATGGTTTGCTGACACGTAAATATGCTACGTAAAATGTACCATAACAAAAATTTGGTGAAGATCAAATCTTATCAAATCCCAAAAAAGTGTTCGACTAAGAGAATTATGCCAGTATCTTTAATAATTTGACTTCGGATATCGCACTGGGTAACAAATAGGCTACGCAAGTAAACTTGTAGGTATCACATTGCACTGTATTTTTTATTTTCTCTGCAGCTTGTTCTAGTGTTGGCGTGTATCGGGGCCGTGTTTGGTGTCCCTCTACAGTACGCCCTGCCGTATGCTCACGCGCCGCTTGTGCATGCGCCTTTGCTGCATGCGCCGGTCGTTGCAGAACCTGTGGTAAGGAACACTTTCGATTTTCTTTTTAACGGTCTATAATAGCGAGACTTCTCATAATACCAAATGTGTCAAATTTCGTTAAATTTTATAATGACCAGTTAAATCATGAAACAGTCAGGTATGGGAGTACATCACGGGGTGCAAGATTGCCGCCCGTCCTTATATTATTCTGCCGCGCTCGAGTAAATCCCAATATCTCCGGTTGGCCTCTAATATACTATTAACTATGACTCTTTCTTGAGATAGTAAGTGTAATTTTAAGTGGTTTTTGGTATATTATTGTGTTTGTTTAGTTATCGTTAATCTGTTGGTTCTGTTCTGCGATATTACTTCAAAGGTAAAATTATCTCACATCGGTAGCTTTCCGGTGCAGATAGTAAAAATCCATCAACGATCACGGCATATCAGTAACTGTTGGGTGGAAGGTGATGGGCAGGTAACCTGTCATTTTTATTTCCGAACAACACACACAAAAACAACAAAACACCAATGCCGAAAAGCGGTATGTGAGTAAATAGAGATTTAATATCTCTGTATTCTCGAGAAAAAGTCTCGAGTTCAACCTTGCGACGGAAGCCGTCGGTAGAGAGGGTTCGATAGTGATAATAACTCGATAAGCCTATAACAATAACAACAAGCCTGAACTGTTTATTTAAGGTAGAAATAAAAAACTGTAACAAATCAAGGTATAAACTTAAAAACATGTCGTTAGTCCACTAGATATAATATTAGTTACTATGAAATACAATTTTACTTTTCACAATATGTGTTGAAAAGCTTATAGATGTGGATAATGCTGCTGGAATGACAACAATTTTTTTTTTACAGGAACTTTAATGTACCTGTAAATTTCTACAGTATTATATTTGTAATTGCTTCCACCAAGTACATCTATCTTTTAAGGATTTTGCTGCTGGTATGATAACAATATTTTTTGACAGCCTTGACGGAATTGAATTTCAAACTAAATAAAAACCATACTTAGAACATTTTAAAATTAGTTCTGGTCAAGAAGGTCGAATATGGAGAAAATAAACAAGGAGAACGGTTGTGGCTATGCCACACCGTTACACCCCTAATGCTCTGAAACCCCGCAAGTGAATTCTACATAGCAAGTATTAATCTATTATGAATACTTATAAGTATCATAATTATAGTATAATAGAAGTATATTAGAGTGATTAAAAAAACCCATTCTAATGAGCCCAAACACGCTACATTTGCTGCAGGGGAGTTGAGTCTTTGATGCTGCGCCATCATCCAAAGGTTACGAGCTACGACGCCACAGACAGACACACAGATACACAGACACGTTTAACTTATAACACCCCTCTTTTTTCCTCGGGTGTTAAAAATTAACTTTGTTTTGCAGTCTTACCCGAAGTACGCTTTTAACTACGGCGTAAAAGATCCACACACTGGCGACATCAAGAGTCAACAAGAGGAGAGGGACGGCGATGTTGTCAAAGGTAAACTTTCTTTATTTTACTTGTTATTAACTTATCTACATTCTACCTATTGTGTCGTCTGTGTTTATTTTCCATAACTTGTACTTGTAAGTTGCAAAGAAACTGGTCTCTGTACAAGAATAACATAAGGCAAGGCAAACATAGTGATCACGCTGGGAATATTAAAATAATGTAACAATTTACTAATTATTCTCAAATATTAGTGGTGATTTATCAGGTATATTCCAAGTAAATTGCTAATATTCATGACGAGATGTATGGAGGCTCGCTTTGAAGGCATTTTGCATTTCTGCTGGCCGTGTGAATAAAATTATTAAAAGACTGGTCAAAGAAGGGTTTCGAACCTAAGTCAGTACAATATTTTAAACTAGATCGAGCAAATTAAGTCAAAATAATCAATTTTCATATACTTCTTCTATATCTATATTTCTTTGCCATAATATCAAATAATTTTAATAATGACTCAATAAAATAGATTTTGCTAAATTAACTTGAAATCTATTTAGTTACTTTCTACAGTTAGAACCTACTTACGCTATCTATGTCGAGATTGCGTGCCTTTGTAATATTCAATCTATTTTCAGTTGAAAGCAAGGCATGTGATTTTATAATAGCCTATGACAGTATAAAAAAAACATCGATTTTAATCTAGAATGGATATTTTTTTTAATAACGCTGTCCCGACTGTCAATGTAGCTTTGTTCCTTACTTATCTAAATTATTAGACTGCTGGACTTGGCTTTTCAGTTTTTATTTAAAGTATTTTTTAAGCAGTCGGGTTTGCGTTTTAGTTGCAACATATTTTTATTGTAATATTTATTTACTAAGACACTTTCAGTTTGAGCATGTTATTTAACTAGCTAAGTTGTTACATTTTACTCTTTCATTTTTCTGTACTATTTCTTCATTTAAAACTAAATGTTTTGATATTTTTTTATATTGGAATTTAGGTAGCTACTCCTTGGTTGAGCCGGACGGGTCTACACGTACAGTAGCGTATTCGGCAGACGATCACAACGGCTTTAACGCGGTTGTTCATAAAACTGGCCACGCAGTACATCCGGTAAGAAGAATTACATTCTTACATTCCAAATTCCTATAGCCTTTTGTAGTTTGGATAAAAGTTCGTGTTTGGTAATTTTAATTTGAAATATTCAGCTATAAAATTGTCACATTAGAATGTAATGCCTATAGCATTGACTAAAATTACGCGTTACTTGTTCAAAACGTGTTTTGCTCAATATTTGCGATTTATGATTTTTTCTCATACATAATTAAGATTACACCTCGATACAATGTTAATAGCAATCGAAGTCAATCATTTTGTTGTTCTTAAAAAGTATAGATTTTCATCATAAAACTCATTCCAAAGAGTTAACATTATAACATTACACAAACTCGATTTCTCTACAGTTGCGTTGGGCGCTTGCGCAACGTCTAATAGCGCTGAGCTTATAAGGAAATGTTGACCGGTGAATCTTGTTCGGCATAGTTCACCGAATTTCCCAGAACCTTCGATATAGCTTAGTATCTGTCACTATCAGATAAGGGTCTTGTACTATATTCATATTACCTTATAGATTTACCTGTCTAACGCCATTCTGGTTCTAATGTTTGATAATATACTTACGAGGTTAATTTAATTTCAAATAAGTAATTGAAATTCTAAACGAAAACTGATCCTTGTTTTTAATTTCGAATATACTTACTTCATTTCGGAATATTTAGTTTAAAAATGTTTCTATCGTTATGTATTTTTTTATTCGTGATTATAGTTGTAAAAAGCCTGTTAACTACTGTTAATTAATAAAATTTCTGGTTAGCTGCCCATAAAATGCTGTTATTTAACGGCTAGTTATCTTGACTTCGACCTAAAAATGGTATTCTGTTTGTTGTTTTTTTGAAGTCTTTAACGTAAATGTAAATCAAGTAACGTATATAAAATATTAATAATACAAACTAATACCTAACATAATAAACTCGATTGATGCCTACTATTAACGTGCAACTCGCAGGGGTGGAAATAAGTCAGTAAAAGTCAGTTTATTGTAGGTTGTTATTAAAAGAAAGATTTTTTTTTTCAAAATTTGGTCAGTTTTTTTACAATCATAGCGCTCGTCTTCTTTAAAAAAATGTCTCATTTTTCTCTCAAGTGTTTTCATGTTTATGAATAACTATAATTGCTATATTTTCTTCTTTCAAATGCTTATTACTTGTAAAGGTATTCATTTGATATTGTGGGTTACTTACAATGCGAAGAGATGGCGCTGCCTTGCAGTCTAAGAAATGCTAGAGAAAAATCGACACAGCTATCAGGGCTGCGGTAGCATAATGGTCAGTGCATTCGCCCGGATAGCGAAGGATGTGGGTTCGAGTCCCGTCTGCTGCCTGGTACGCGTGGATTCTTTTCTAGTAAAAATATTCCTTAGATTCAAACATCTAGCAGTTAAATGCTTAAAAAAATTACTACATAGGTACTCATTTATGAAGTTTGCTACGAAATTGTAGTAAAATTTAATTTAAAAAGAATTTCGTGTTGCCATTGATAATAAAAACTAGACCAATTTCTCATTATAATTATAACACTGGGATGATGATGTGGGACTGGGATGACTGTGATTTTCATTACGAATAAATCAACCGAGTGTTAAAATAAAGCAGTGTTGGAAAAATACATAAATTTCGTAATAATAATGCATATTGATGGTCAGTTTACATCCTGTAAAATTTCTATAATTTGTCGTAAATAAGTCGTTGAATAGAGAAATTTCTAAATCACACTAATATAATAAAGGCGAAAGTTTCTGAGTGTGTATGTTTGTTACTTCTTCACGTCTAAGCGGCTGAAGTGATTTTAATTAAATTTGGTATGGAGTTAGCTGATACCCTGGACATAGGCTGCTTTTTACTGCGGGAAAATATCCCTTATAAACCACCGCGGGGCACAGCTAGTTTAGAATAAATAGAATACACACACCCATATTAATAAACGAGGAATAAACTTAGATTAGTTACGCTGTGTTTTGTTCATATCACTCAAAGTGCTATTTGTCATTCAAATCACGGCAGCAAACACAGTAGCCAATCTAAGCTCATTCTTCATCACAGTAATAATATTATAAAGACGAAAGTTTGTGAGTGTGTATGTTTGTTACTTCTTCACGTCTAAACGGCTGGAGCGATTTTAATAAAATTTGGTATGGAGTTAGCCGACACCCTAGATTAACACATAGGCTACGTTTTACTGCGGAAAAATATCCCTTATAAACCGCGGGGCACAGCAGCTAGTTTATTAATAAGGTGGAAGAAGTAAAAGCGGTGCACATGCTATCAAAAAAAATATGGGGATTGGCCTTTTCAAATTCGATAATAAAAATGGCTATGAAAAAGATTGGCAAAACATAGGTACTTGCTTCGATCGATGAAGATTTTCGTTTTAGTTGTATTGTTAATAGGGATTCACACATTTTGTTTTTAAATAAAATTTAAACTTACAGGTTGCAGTGGCACCAGTGGCTCACTACGCGGTGAACCCCGCTCTTTCGATCTCGCCCTATACTCTCCATTAAACCGCCGTATTTTTAATTAATAATAAGTAAATATACCAAACTTAAAACTATTTTAAGGATTGGTTTTTTATATAAGTAATATTTAGGTCAGTAGGTAGGACACTCATGTTTTCAATTATAAAATTGTTTAGATATTCGTATGTAAAAAAAAAATATATATAAAAATATTTAAGTGTTTTTATAGGTTTTATGAAAAGTTGCTAAATCGAAATCGTTGGTACAATGCAAACTTATAAAAAGCAGCCTGTGATTCTTTGTAAATATTATAGCATTAAATTTAAATATAATATGCTTTAAAATAGCGAAAGGAATTTTGATCTCGATTGGGTTGGATTTCAGTGCAAATTTTTATTTCATAAAATATTTATATACCTTGATTCTTTTTAAACTATACTATTTCAGAATTATAATATTTGGCAACTTATGACTCAATATTACAATAAGCTACAAAGTAGACATTACCCGGGGATTTAAGTTCTAGGTAGGTACATACTTCAAATGTCAAACTTTTTCAATTGATTTTGATCTTTATGAGACAAGACAAAAAAAAACTTTTATTTTGAGTAAAGAAAACGATATTTCAATTAAAGGTTTCCATTGCTTGAAATCTACCTCAATTCTGACAAGAAAATTCAAACGCTATCCATCCAGATCAAACGCCAGCAATTATCGCCAAGAAGTGGAGAGCTACAACTTTTTGGTGGATCGTTTTTGATGCAATAAGCCGTTTTCCTTCTTCCTGCTATTTAGAAATTAAAAAAAGATAAAACATCAACACATCGGAAGAAAACCGGACGAGTTTGTCGAAATGTTAACATTGTATTCGTAAAGAGTTAGCATCTGTTGTAAGTACAATATAGAAATAAATATTAAAAATTTATAATAAAACAACTTACATTTACCGTTAACCTGTTTTAAATCCGCACATCTTCCTTTTATTTTATTCTTCAATTTCAACACAAATTGCGCTTCTTTGAATATTTTAAGGGTTTCGTACCTCTCTTGGCAAAAACGGAACCCTTGTAGGATCACTCGGTTGTGTGACTGTCTGTCACAGTCAATTTGTTGGGAATTTACTGGACTACTTAAGTTGATATTTGGTAAATACATTGCCGCCACCTTATCTCCAAAACTACTGCAAATAAAATATAAAAAAAAATTTGCTCTGCAGGATTTGGGGTTTACAGAAAAACCAAAAGAAGTTTATTATTATTAAGCCTGGTTTTGGTTTCTTGGCCGGTTTTTGAAGTGAAACTTCTTGACGCACGCTTGACTTGGGGGGTAAGCTGGCGAATGCCTTATATATATGTACATATACATATTTTATTCAATTATAATAATAATATTTGATATACAGGGTGTAAAAAAATCGTACGTATTCTCCATATCATGACGATCATTTTTTTCTTCTTCTATATATACATACATATAGATAGAGCTAAAGAAGTTTCACTTCAGTCATGTGGTCATAAGCACACTCGTTTTTTTATGCATAAACGATTTATTTCTTAATTTTATAAATTAAATTTAACACTTTCTTTATTTTTTAAGTTTCAAGTTGAGCATTTTTTTAGGAAAAAAAAGCACTATTTTTAACGTAAAGTACCTTCCATTACACCACAGGTATCTTCCAGGATGGCAGGCAGGTACCGAAGGTGCTGAGGGTACCGAATGAATTTCTTCAAAATAGGCGTGAAGAAGTATCTACACTATGGGATGCTTTTACCCTTTTTTAATGTCTGCCAAATGTCCTTATACATTCTTCTTCCTGCCCATTTCATCCAGCTATAGAGCTCGATGAGACGAGCAGGGCCTACCCAGTTAAAAAAAGACCATACTCCTGCACTATGCACCCGCTACGCATTCTGAGGACCGAGGTCCCCCTAATACGTGTCGGGGTAATGTTGCGGCACTCTTATACGAATGGCCGCGGAGATGCAGGTATATGTAGGTGAGTCCTGTAAAGAGGGCGGCGGCGGAGGGAGCTACACGGGCACGTCCAAGTAGCCCTCGTACTCAGCCCCCACGCGCGGGCCATCCTGAGCACGTCTGCGGGGTCCCCGCGATACCCTTGGAGACCCGGCTAGGCCGGGACGCTGCTAGGTGCGGAGACGCGGAAGAATCCCTAAACGGGGATCCAGGGCAGGGTTTTTTAGCGGATATTATACCGCAAAGCGCCCGTAAGAGTTACGGGGTTCTCAGTGGGCAGCCACTGCTGGTGCTCGTGAGGCTTGCGGGAGCCAGGTGTGAGGTCCGTTCGGCGGTGTACCTGTTAAAGGCGCCGTCGTCTGTAAATAGTATTTTTTGCTTGCGTATAAAAAAAAACATATATGTAGGTGAAGGTGATATGAGAGAGATTTCACTCCTCCTTTCATAAATTGTTATGATTAGATATAACACGATTTCTATAACTCTTCATTTAATTATTGAAAAATGTATCAGAGGACTTCTATTAAAAAAAATCTTTGATTGATACTTAAAAATAAACAAGCCAGGTTGCTCTGCCTTAGCAATGCTAAAAATAAGGTTTTTATATATCTGATTCAATGACGCAAAGTTAAACGATGCCTAATGCCTTACTTAAGTAAAAACACGCAATTTAAACGTTGCTGGCAAGTGATGAAAAATCACGGCAATTAAGAAAACACGAACGTCCGTGTATGGTTTTAATGGAAAACATGATATATGTGGCAAGTTCGGGGTCAAACTTGTACAGGTAACGCTCCCATATATTTAATATACCTACCTACCTATGTGTGGGCAGAGTAACATTTACTAATTGCTAGATAGGTTCGGTTGAAGTAAGTACGTGAAATAGTACAGTAAAAACCGGATAAATGCGTGTTGTGCCACGCGCAGTGAAGGGTTCCGTAGTTGCTCGTCGTCACCACAAATTTTTTTGGAAAGAGTCTATATTTTAAGCAATTACTTCGTCTAAGTCACTTTCAATGTTTTCTTCCAATGATTTTTATTAGGTCAGAAATTTTCTAATACAGAAGATGAACTAGTACTCATAAACTAACTAATCTATTTTAAACATTATAGGTTTCCTCAAAAGTTTTAGTAGCATTATTATCATGTAATTTCTAGGTTTTTCTAAAATATATATAAAATAGTCTTACAAACCCCTAAATAATTTTAAAGGACCTATTCAACGTTACACCACACGATGGAGTAGACGATATAAAAAAAAAATCATCTCCTACATGTAGCTCATCATAAAAAATGTTTTTCTTAATTTTATTCCACCATTTTGTCGGCATGATTGATAAACATATCTCCGCAAAATTATAGCTTTTAGTGCTAACAGTCTTCAAGCAAAAGCGGGAACAGACAGACAGACGGACATGACAAAACTATAAGGGTTCCTTGTCAGGACTACGGAACTCTAAAAAGTACGTGATATGATTTTTTATAAACTAAGTAATTACCTGTACATCTTATAACACTGCGTGACATGATTTTGGTACCCGAAAACTGATTAAGGAATAAATGAAATGAAAAATTGAATTTTGCCGTATTGTAATCCCCGTTTCGCGTTATTCCAGACTATTTAATTATACATAACATTTATATTATATTTATAAGACAATGTCAAAGTTCAAAGACCTGCGATGAGTAAACAGGAATTAAATTTATCACTATAGGCAGTAAATGTTGGATTTTATTCGTCATAAATCTGATACAACGAATCGGAATCATCTTTACGATCGGAAAGCCGTTATATATACTATTCATCATTTTTATTATCATAATCTGTGCTGTTAACAAACTGTATAAACATTTTCGTTAAAATTTTGCGAATATTTTTCATTAACACATTTATTTAAGTAGCTAAACAAACACGTGACGGAAAAGTTAGGAAAACTAATGCGGACAGGTATTTTTATTTATTTTTAAATAGGTTCGACTAATGACTCCCCTACCCGATGTTTAGTGATCGTGGAGTCCAGACGCGAAGATAGCTGGTAAAGCAGTTCTACCTGTCCCACCAGCCATTCTCATCTTGCCGGGGCATACATTGCTTCTTCACGCCTTTTTTAAAGGATCCTGTGTTGTAGGAGAGAGGGACCTCCAGAGCTGGCAAAACATTCTGTTTACGGATAGCCCGGAATATAGGAAGAGGAAGGCCTTAGTAAATATGAAAAGAATGCCTGGAGTTTATGTAAAGATGGACGTGAAGATAGGAAGGAGGTAACTTCATTTGCAAGAACTTAAAACGAATTGGGAACAATTTATTTACCTCTTTTACCTACTGCCAAAAACTGTTTGACAGTTACAAAAATGCACCAGTGACTTTGTAACTGTTTTAGCAACGTTGCATATCAACAGGCTCTTTAGGATTTGTTTTGAGAAATAATATAAGTCATAGACCCTTTCCATATTAGTGATATTTAAAACCTTGAAAATAAGCCATTTGGCACGCGTGTCAAGTCTCAGTGGGTGTAGACATCGTCGGGCGCTATCGTTTAAAGCCAAATCTGTCGGTTTACGGTATCGAGCCTTAAACACTGCTTTTATTACCCGCATATTTCCATTCAATGACTTTGATAAAGTGCGCAAGCGCTGATTCGGTGAAACGCTATTAAAATCGGAAAGGGCTATGTTTCATGTCTCCACAATTAAGGATGTGGCAATAAAGAAGATGGGTCGTATTTTTGGATTTTTATGCGAGTAAAATTAACGCATTTTTATTTGATTTAAATATCATAAGATTACATATTAACCCCTTGTTCCAATCCATGCATAGCTATAACGTTTAAGTAATCATTCACAGATTTTTTATCATTTCCCGGGAGGATATCTATATTAATATTTCCAGTGAATATTAAGGCTTTTTATGGATTGCAGAATAGTGTCGATCGAATTGAGGAAAGGAGTTACGTTGCTAAAGGAAAGGGATCTGTAGCAACATACAATACATACGTGGGACACTCAGAAATGTCATCAGTTTTGAGAAACTAAAAAACTAATTTCTATGAATCAAATATTTTTATAAAATCTTTTCAAAGAACTCTCCAACAGCCTCTATACAAAGTTTCATGCGTCTGAATCAATTTTCAAAACATTTTTCAAGTCCTCCGCAGACTCCTCTTCCACGGCCTTCTCAAACGCTGCTTGCTAGCGCTTCTTCCGGCGATGAAATCTGTATCCCTTTGAGCTGATTTTTTATTTTAGGGAATAAAAAGAAGTCACACGGAGCCAAATCAGAACTGTAAAGTATTAAGACTCTGACTGGTGTGGAGTCCAGGAAAACCTTAGTTTTGATCGCAGAGTGCGCGGGCGCGTTGTCGTGGTGAAGAAGGACCCCGCGGAGCCCGGTGTTAGGTCGCGTGTTGCTCACTGCAGGAAAAACTTCTGGCAGGCATTTTGTGCTATACCATTCGGCGTTAATTCTGCTCTAATCTCGAAGTGGAATTGAAATTAGGTACTACGTCAAAGTGAAGAAACTAGCGATCAAAATTTTCCCTGTGCATTTCGATCGCTTCACTTTCGTAGGCGTTGGTTCATTTTAAAACAGCCAAACTGGCGACTGACGCTTTGTTTCAGGATCGTATTGATAAACCCAGGATTCGTCACCTGTCACAATATCATAAAGGCGCCGTAACGTGCCTGCATCAAACTTTTGTATCATATCACTGCACCAATCCACACGGGCCTGCTTCTGAGCATCGGTGAGGTTGTGCGGCACCCAGCGGGAAACTATCCTCCTTCCGCAAAGTTACTCTTGCAAAATCTTGTGAACACTTCCTGAACCAATCTGCAGAGTATGCTGAATCTCTTCGTACGTAACTCTTCTGTTTTGTTGAATTGTTTTTTTTACTTTCTTCGGCGACAGCCGTCGTAGGACGACCATTCCTTTGTTCATCCCCCAAAGTAAGACGACCGCGTTTGAACTCCACTATTTTAATGAGACGAGAAAAAGTTTCATTGGCTCTCGAAAAAATGTGAAGGGAAATTTAAAAATCGAACAGTGGTATTTTTACTTTTAAATAATCGAAGTTTTCAAAATAATTACAAGTGGCCAGTGTCATTCATAAAAACTTTTTTTGGCACAACTTTCTGAGTGGCCTGGTATGTTATCTGGTAAAGTAACAATAAGATAATTAGCGTGCACTACATCTTTTGGTTCGTAGCAAGTAGGTTTAATTGACTCACAAATATATATATTATACCACAATACCGTCATTTTGATAATGGAATTTCTAGTCGCGTATTATTATTATTATTAGTGGTATTTGTAACCCTGAACCGCGGGAGGCCTGAAATTATCATTTGTCCAACATTCTGAAAGCACCAAAACATCGATATTAAAACTTGTAGTTGCTAGGAATGCTAAAAACATATCGAGGTTTTTGTTACTTCTTCTAACATTGATTAAAACTACACTTAGACAGCCACATTTTTACTTATTATTTAACAACTGTGGACAGTTAGTTGAGTTATCTATACAAGTTGGTCAATAATGTATTTCCTACCTATGAAACTGAATGTTCTTTTTAAAGTGAACTGGTCCTATCTTTAAAAGCTATACATATGTATATCTGAAGAGTTTGTACTTTGTATGTTAGATACGGAGCTTCGTACAAAATACAAGGACACAATAATGCAAACCTGATGCACAATAAAGGCAGCAATAATAAATGTTCATTTTTGGTAATTGAATAATAATATTTTACCGAGTACCCACATTCAAACAAAATTTGAAGGTTAGATATTTTACAAGTATTTAATAATGATAACTTTCGCATATACTCGATAGCAAGCAAAAGTAATGTTATTTAGTTAGTTTTAGTAATTATTATCTTATTATGAGTATCGGTTGTTATTTGATAGACCGAATATACATAAATGAACAATATTTGAAGCTTGACAATATTTGATAAAATATTTATTTGTGATAGATTTCGAGAATTTAAGAAGGAAATTACAATTTTTGGTATAACGTTTAGTGTATAGGTGATTATTTGGTAATATGTCTTTAGGTAAGAAGATTAAGACATAATTTGGAGTGTATCAATTTTTCAAATAATATGTATCAATGTTATTTCTAGACAATACTGATTGATATTAGGAGCTCGATGGCGCAACCGGTTAGCGCGTTCGGTTTCTATCGTTGAAGTTAGACAACTTTCACAGTGGTCGGTCATTGAATGGGTGACCAAAAATTTACTATCTCGAGCTCCTCCGTGCTTCGGAAGGCACGTTAAGCCGTTGGTTCCGGTTGCATCTGCAGTCGTATGGCCCAATCTCCCTATTCCATCCATAGGGAAGGCCTGTGCCCCAGCAGCGAGGACATTAATATGACTGGTGATGATGATGACGACTGATTGATAAATAATGTTAGTAGTATCAATTTGTTTATAGTCTCTGTTCTGTTATTGATTGCACAAGGCTGTTTAGTCATAGTTAAATAGTCAATTGTTTTTAATAAAGTGGCATTGAGTAGGTAATATAATATGATTTATTTTTCTAATAAGTATATCTGTGGTATACAATATGTGTGAGCTGTTATTGTTATTATATAAGTGAGTTTGTAATACCTTTTTGAGTAGTTGAGGTGTTATCTCCATGTGTGTGTTATTGTACTGTTTACTAAATATATATTTAATAAAAAAAAACAAGAAATCATTATTTGTAAGCATTTCGTTTTCTGTAAGATCTTTAAAAGTCATATTCTTTCGTCAACAGCACTAAGACAGTACAAATAAAAAATAAATATTTAACAAAATTAATAAGTAGAAATAAATTTACGTTACAAGTTAATTCTATCTGCTTCCTTAATAGGTCATATTAATCTTGATGACAGAATAGTCCATTCGCAGCAGCTAACAGTACAAGCTACTTCAAAGTTGCTTTCGTCGGCTCGTAAAAGGCAATTCCTTATCCTGCAACTAATGGAATGACATCACGACAGTGTTAAACGGATATGGGCGAAATTGCCTTCACCCACAGACTTTAGACCATATTACTCGTGTGTGTCGTTTTTTTGCCGGTTAAAAACCTCTTAAACGACAAGACTGAGGACTCCACTCGCAGTGGTGATTTAGTAACGGAACGCACGTCACAGGATTTGAAACCAGTATTTTTGTGAAGTGCTTGTTACGTTCGCGCGAAATGGATTTTCTAATGAAGGTAATGTGTTCCTAGTAAACTTTTAATTATAGAGTTAATTGCCGATTAGCATTAACTATTACGTTTAAAAGAAAAATAAATAACTTGACACATAGAATAGTAATAGATAAAATAATTGAAGAACACAACATTGAAATTCTAGTTATTTTCTATTATAGTAATAAAGTCAATATATACTGTATAGTAAACTTTTTAACTTTCTTAGTTCTTTCTTAGTAAATATACTATAATAGAAAATAACTGGAATTTCAATTTCGTATTCTTCAATTATTTTATCTATTACTATTTAATGTGTCTAGTTAATTGATCTCCTGCCTGTAGCCTATTAACCTAGCTTATAATTAAAATATTCCTATTGAAATAACATAATTATGTAGTACCTGATGAATTTTAAGCGCGATTATTTCAAAATGTTCGCAACATGAAGTAACCAATAAACGAAGCTCATAAGATTACTGAAATTCTAAGTATTTTATAGCTTTTCCAGCTAAATAGTTAATAAATAAAGAAAGGCAACTTATTTGATATACCTATTTGATATTTTGCTAGTGGAAGCGAAATTGTTTGGAAGAATCGCTCGAAAGGTACCGCTTCTTACCAAGTAACACCTAGATATGAGATTATTATTCACTAAAAGATATGTTAATTGGACGGTACGAGAATGGAAAAAAGTGTTATTTTCAGATGAAACAAAAATAAATATGGTAAATTCTAATGGCAAGCGCTATGTTAGACGTTCTGTAAACAATGCTTTTAATTATAAATACACAAGGAGTATAGTCAAGCACAGTGGCGGTAACATACAAGTATGGGCGTGTTTTCCCGGATGTGGAGTTGGCCCCGTTCGGAAGATTGAAGGTACAATGGATCAATGGCAATACAAAAATATCTTAGAGCACACGATTCCCTATCATTGATATCATTTGTTTGTAACCTGGATCTTTCAGTATGACAATGACTCGACTAAGCACACGGTCAATGGCGTCAAATGTTTCTTTAGCGAACAGCGTATATCCGTTTTAGACTGGCCAGCAAATAGTCCGATTTTAAACCCGATAGAAAATCTTTGGTATATTGTTACAAATAAACGTAACACCAGTCAAAACGAACTATATGAAGCATTTGTTGAAGCATGGAATTCAATCTCCCTAGAAAAATGTATGAAATTGATTATTTCAATGCCACGTCGTCGTTGCAGTGCTGTTATTGGAAATAAGAGATACATCACTAAATAATAATTATAGCTAGGCTGGTAGGCTGTGGATAGTAGCTATTTCGTAAATAGCAATAATAACTACTAATACTTAAAAATATATAAGTAGTTTTTTATACTTTTTTGTTGTTGTTTCTAATTAGTTGACCATTATCGTTCATACTCGTACCTTAAAACTGATCTAAATGTTTGTCCGTAATGTAATATTGAAACTGCACTTGTGTAATGGGATTTTTATTTTTTTTCTAATAAATGATAAATCGTTGAACATATCTTCAAGATCTTATTTATTGTTTAATTTCAAAACAAAAACGATTGCGTTGAAGTATCTTACATGATGTCAAAGACCGTTGGTAGTGTTTCTAATTATACGACCACCACTGTGTAAACTAGTTGACCCAGCGAACTTCGTACCGCCAGCAAAATAGGGGCTGGTGGAAGAAGGGTGAAAATTTAGGGTTGTGTGAATTTTTAATGCGACATTATAAAAAAATGACCAAAAAATAAAAATAAAACATGTTAGGGGTGGACAACCCTTATCACTTAGGGGTATGAAAGCTAGAAAGATGCCGATTCTCAGACCTTCTCAATATGCGTATACAATTTCTTAAAAATCGGTAAAGCCATTTCGGAGGAGGAGGAGGAAAATTTAGGGTTGTATATATTTTTGTATGATGTATCATAAAAAAAAACAAAATTTTGTCCAAAAAAAAAATTAAGCGTGGACCACCCTTATTACACGTGAACATTAAGGGGGATGAAAAATAGATGTTTCCCAATTCTCAGATCAACTGAATATACATATAAAATTTCACGAAATCGGTCGAGCCGTTTCGGAGTAGTTCAATTACGCACACCATGATACGCGAATTTTATATATTAGAGATTTACTAAGCCTCAGCAATTAAAACTGAGTACTCACCTTACAAATAAGGGGCGCTATTCATCAAATTGACACTAATAGGGTAAAGTTATTAATTGTTGTTTTTATAACTTAAGTTATTTATCATACTTAAAGAAGTATACATGTTTTAAACCCACACTATATCTTATGGCCACTTTCATAGATGTCAATTAAATTTGATGTTTAGCAAAGTAACATTATGCTTCAATAAATTATGGCGCGATTATACTTAGCCGTAAGCCCGAATATGAGTGCCAATTGAATTCGGGTAAACGACTAAGTCTAAATGAACGGAGTCGAGTACGCCCGTATTCGGGTAGATTTCCTTTTGTTTACCCGACACCGTCTTCCAGCCCGTATTCCAGAGTAAATATTGCTTCAGATGCCCGAATTCGAGATGTCTTTCACCCGAATACGGGCTTACGACCAAATGTAATTGAGCCATTATTGAGCAATATACATATGAAACCGATAAAATAAATAAAAATTTTATTTTTAAAACACGTATTAATAGATCGCTTTAAACTTTGAAAGCGATCTAGAATACGATCTTGAGATGCTGTTTTGTATGAAAACAGTATCTCAAGATCACAGTCTCAGAGTTGAGAGCGATCTATTGATACGGGCACTGTAAAATTCATGATAGTACATATACATAAAGCTTTTAGGAGGTTTAGGACCGAATCTTAAAAGTTACAACCCTTTGCCTACATTTTTGTCTACTTAAAGCAGGGATGAGCAAACTTTTTCGTTATCCTTCCAATACTTACTATCAATCTATGGCGAGCCGAGTTTCTGCTCAGGCCACTTAAGATTTCGGTAAGTATGCTCCTAAGTTTGCTGCGAAGTAAACAGGTAGGGCGCGCGGTAGATCACCTATGCGCAGGATCGATCAGATAAAAGCGGCACTGAACCACGGTAATATTATCAGATAATATTACCGTGACTGAACGGTCCACTTCACGAATGCACGAGGAAGGCCGCAGTGCGGGAGGAATGGCGGCGTATTGTGAGGCGCCCTACCAATCCTGAAGTGATGACCAAGACCACTCTGTCAAGAGTGTAGCGCCGAAGAAGAAGAAATAGGCAGGCACCAGGTTTGGCAGCAGGGTTGTTCTTGTCGGAACGTGTCAAAATCTTTTTTGTGAGAACATTTGATTTCAACCATTCGAAGGCCGTAGGTGCCCCGCGGTCCATGGTTTTTGCTCATCCCTGACTTAAAGTATGGATGTTTTATTTTCAAAATTTCATTATTTATTCTGTTATCGATAATAAATTATCTCTTTTAATTGCAGATATGTTTACTATCGATTCCGTTAGGCAACTTAGCGAGGGTCATATCATCTCCGAGAAAAGCAAGGTTAACTTTAGGGGAACCTTCGCCAAGCTATTACTTCACAAATATTGATGGTGAGCTTAGAATAAATAAAATTAAATACAAAGACTACAAACGAATGCTTAATTTCTAAATAGTAATTTTTGGAACAGGATAACGCAAATATTTTAACAGGAGTATATACTCAGGATTTGGATTTTGTAAATGGTTTGAAAAATAATAAAAACAAACAGAAAAACAAAAAAAAATACAAAAAAAATATGTAAAGAAATCATTGTATATAAGCCGATTTTTAAATGCGCCGCAAAAGTTTTACTTTTAACCGTAAAGATAACTTTTCTGTTAGTCCTAAGCCACAGAATATATACTCTTGCCTAAGCCTAGATTTAAAGCATAAAGGAAAATCGTGCAAATCTACGAGTATCCTTGCTTCGTACAATTAATTGTTTGTGATTGTCGTTAGCTAATAAAACCAAATCATAACACAAACTAGTGAATTGGCTAAGTTCGGCACATCTGAAATCGGATATCTAAAAACGGATTTTAAAATCGATTTTGAAATCTGAAATCCGATAAATATCCGTTTGCGTTCAAAACCAAAAACGCCCATGTCTAAACTGAATATGTTGAATGGGATGTCAATCTACTCGTTCTTGTGCTCACGCTTATAAATTTTTATAATTTTAGTAATATGAGGGATAAAAAGTAAGAGTCGTAAATTTTGGTTGACGTTTGTTCATCATCTTCGACATCAACATCATCATCAGCCTATTAATGTCCCCATTGCAGGGGTACAGACTTTCCCCATGTATGGAATAGGGAGACTAGGCTGTGCCCCAGCACGCGGGCCCAGTGCGGATTGGTGGCTGCCAACAACTGCAAATGCAGCCAGGACCAACAGCTTAACGTGCCCTCAGAAGCATGGAGGAGCTCGAGATAACATTTTCACGATCGCAGGCCGAATGCGCTACCCCTGCCGTGGAGCCCCGGCGAGGCCGGGAAGCTGCTGTGTGCGGAGCCGTGGTAGAATCCCTAACGGGGTCCCCGCGGCTTCGCATTAAGCAGTGTAGAAGGTATTCGCAGGACTTTTTTAGCGGATATTATGCTGTAAAGCGCCCGTAAGAGTTGCGGGGTCCTTGGTGGTCAGCCATTGGAGGGTCCGTAAGACTTGCGGGAGCCAGGTGTGAGGTCCGTTCGGCAGTGTGCCTCTTAAAGGCGCCGTCGTCTGTAAAAAGATTTTTTACCTGCGTTATAAAAAAGAAGGCCGAATGCGCTAACGGGTGGTTAGCGCATTCGGCCTTCTTTTTTATATCTATATATATATATATATTATATATCTATATATATATATATATATATATATTTGTCGTATCTTACTTTTTACCTATTTTAATTTTGCAGGATATCCCGGGACATATGCGTTCGGTTACGACATAAGTGATCCACACACTGGAAATGTGCAGTTTAGGAACGAGGAGAGATATCCGAACGGCACGGTTATGGGTAATTACGGATACATTAATGCCAATGGGCAGTATCAAAGTTATCGATACGTGGCTGATGACAAGGGTTATAGGTGAGTGCATAACTTTAAGAAATCTCATTAGACAAAACATAATTTTGTAAATCTTTTTATTAATAAAACAATACCGAATTTTTCATTCAATTTAACAATGATACTTAACTCTGAGTTTGTGTATATAAGGTACCTACCTCATTGATATTCATTTAAGTTTCTGGGTCTGTTGCACCCTTAATGCTCTATCTACCACTTAGTCATGGATGTAACGCAAATTTATGAAGGTAGGTACCTAATTTAATAACCTTTAATTTTAATTGATGACTCTTTATTATTTGATGTTTGGCAGACCCATTTCAGAATTAAGATTAATCAATTAGAATTTAGAATATTTTTTTGAATTTAGATTGTATCGCAATCTGTAATTCTTGTGAATTGCTTGTAGTATTTTGAGGCGCTGATTCTAATAATATTTTGTTTCTGTTTTCATTTGATTGTATCTGTATGTTTGTTACTAGAAAAAATTAACGCCGACTAGGCAGCAGACGGGACGGACGGTCCCGCTTCTATAGATTTATAAACATCTATCAGTTCAATGCTACAAAAATAAAAATATAACCAAGAATAATCATATCTTAATGTCTGTTTTCAGGGTGATGAATAATTTAGAATACCCTCCAACTTTACGACCTACTCAAGTGGATGCTAGTGGTTTCGAATCATCAATAACTTGGTCCCGTCCAAAGAAGAGCAAAACTAATCCCAATTACATCACGAAACTCCCGATAAAAAAGCAAATCAATGCAAACAATGTCTTACTACCACCAAGTTATTATGCAATAGACTAGTTGGAATAAATAAATGGTACATACATTAGGTCCTTATTTTTTTTGTTTCTGAGAAAATGATATTAAAAACACCACGAGCGCTCAAAATGTGTCCCAATCAAGAAGTGATGAAACACTACCTACTCAAGCATTTCTTGGGTCACAGTTACGCGTGGTCCGTTGAGAAGTCAACTTGTATAATGTCGTAGAGCTCCATTAAAAATCGAAATAAATACAATAGATACAATAGAAAAAGAATATTGTATGTGGTCGCATCGACAGGTATTAAATCAATGCTTGTTCATAAAAAATAAAAAAAAACAAAGTCAACTCGTCACGGAAAAAAGTATGTGTGAATTTACCACAGTTCTTTTAGGGTTCCGTAGTGCTGACAAGGAACCCTTAGTTTGTTTGTCATATCCGTCTGGCTATCCGTGTTGACTGAGGTGTATATTAATCACGACGACAAGGGGTATAATAAAAATTTGAAAAATATTTTTTTTAGGGTGTATGTGGTGGGTATGGTATGGTGTGGGTGCCTTACATGTAAAGTGGGGATGATTTTTTTTCATCTACCCCATTGTATGGGTTATCGTTGAATAGATTCTTTAAAATGACTAAGGATTGCTAAGACTATTTTGCGATTTAGCGATCTGTCAACAAAATATTAAAATTTAAAGTGTTAATTTTTTGACGAATAAAACCCCCCCCCCCCCTTCCTCTAAAAGATAAACTATAAGCTTAAAAAACCTGAAAAAAAATGATGATAATAGTGTTTTTTATGAACTTTTCAGGAAAATTATAAGGGTTAAGAGAGACCAGTCAGTTTAAGAGTAATAGTCGTTCAACATACGTATTACAAAATTCTTTAACTAATAAAAAAATCTTAGAAGAAGAACACATTAAAAGTGACTTACAGTGCGACCCAGATTTTTATGAATGTGAGTGACAGTTCAGGTAGGGCGATAGAAGAAAATGACATACAAATTATGACGTTTACAAAGATGGCGGCGTTAGTTCAAATTTTCGCAACATTCATAAAGATCTTGATCGCACTGGACATCAAGTAATTGCTTGTTTATAACGCGTAAAATCTAAAAGAAAACTATTTAAAAAACCACTATAACATATCTACGCAACCCTACACTGCGCGTGGCACGACACACACTTGGCCGGTTTTTATGAAGGTGTGTGACAAATTAAATTTCAATGTATAAAGAAAACCAAAAATATGTCAAAATAACTTTCAATGTAATGTGTGGGGAATATACAAGAACCAGTTTAAATAATGCCTTATTGTTTTTGGCTACGCAATCATCCCACGGACCTCCGTGGAAAGTCCAATGTTCCTTTAGAACAGGTTACGGCCATGATTTTGTTCGTAATGTTATATGTAGGATCTAGGGTTTTTAATATCGGTGATTTTATCACACTTTTTGTATATTACTTCTAAATTAGAATTTTCAAGACTTTCAAACAGTAGAAAAGTGCCTAATTTGCTAGTTGATTTCAGTTTTCAAAGTTATTAAGTTATAGTATAGTAATTAGCAGGGATTGCTACAATGCGCTTCATATGTGCATGTGTGCATATATTTCTATTTATGCCCATACATTTTTATCTAGTTTCATTACATTGATTATAAAATTCTTTATCAGTTGATGTGCATTCAAAAATTGCTTCTTCTTAAATATTAAATTCCAGCTTCACTCATGGCTATACCTTATCACAGAGAAAGTAACCACTTCGTTTTAAAAGGTTGACTGAAGAGTTGGGTTCTCAGGTTGGATTAAAATTCATATTTGGACGAAGAATCTCACTAGGCATGTCATGGGTTAATGTCATTGTAAAGAACTTGACGAAACTTCATTGTAGATGTCATAATTGAAGTTTTCATTAAACTGCATAACCTACAACCTCACACCGACAACAGCAGAGATTTATCCAGAATTATGCTTAAGATATACATCATGGAATCAAAGGCTTGCCTACTTTTAAGCATCGTCGTAGTAGTGTATTTTAAGTATCCTTTTATATAACAATTAGTTGAACAATGTCACATTGAACCTTTAATTCCCAATATTCTTTTGACCATGAACACTGGCTACTTTTTCATATAATATGCATTTGCTGAGCAAATATCAGCTACATTCAAAGAAATCAATATCCTATCATAGATGAATGATTGGTCTCGCTTCACTCGACTGAAGCGAGACCAATCATTCATCTATGTATCCTATCTTCATTGTTGATGAACAGACACAATTTTATATGTTGTGATCAACTTTGAAACAAACAACAAAGTCGAAAGAAACAGCAACATGTTGATTCAAGTTTGTTCTCAAACGATTGTTTAAGCGCCTTTATAAAAAACGCTTTGTGATAGTGTACAGTAGTTATCTCATGTTTTTATATTATTTTCGTAGGTCACCCAATAGTAAAATCTGATATTGAAAATAAACTTGCAAAAGATGAAAAGCGATTTCCTAACGGGACGATAATAGGTAAATATTCTTACACTGATAACGATGGGAATCCTATACATGTGAAATATTATGCCGATGATGGTAGTTATGGGTGAGTGTGCAAATATTAAACATAATATTACTTAGATTTAGAATTCAGATGTGTTTTAATCTTATATACATGTGGTTTATTGAAGTACTAGCGGTCCGCCCTCGCTTCGCTTCGGTGTAGAGCTGAAGTGTACACTACAGTTTTTGTTCTCAGGCTTGTATTATACACAATGACATTCATCTATGATTCTTCTTATACCTGCATGCAGTCTCAGCCCGATCGGTTTAAAATTGACAAAGTTTCATACAAACTTTCATTCCCTATTTTATCCCTTTGGGGGTAGAATTGATCAAAATCCTTTCTTAGCGGATGCCTACGTCATAACATCTACCTGCATGTCAAATTTCAGCCCGATCCGTCCAGTGGTTTGGGCTGTGCGTTGATAGATCACTATGTCAGTCAGTCACCTTTGACTTTTATATACATATATAGATAAAAACGGTCATTTTTATTACCTGTATTTATAATCAAACTAAAATTCTCATATTTCCGTTTTCCAGTACTCATTTTCTACACGTTTTACATGATTTATTTTTGCTAATTTTGTTTACAAATATTTGGTTTTTATTCTAAGATGCTTATCTTAGAATAAAAACCATACATTACGCACGGTTTCTTAATATCAATTATTGTTTGTCAATAAGGTCGAACGCTCTGAACGCATCAACAGCCAAATATTGAATGAAGCTCGCTTTTTTTTTTATTCCTCCCAGGCGGGCGAGCGGGTGTGAAATCCTCATGGATACCCTACAGCCGGCTGTAGGGTTATGTCAGACTCTTACTGACTAAAACACACCCGTGGGGGATGCCTATGGCCTTAGGGGCCATACAGTCTTCATCTGATGCGATCAACCCCTGAGAAGGGGATGATGCAGTGCTGCCTTAGTAAATACTACTGCATAGTGCGCTTAGAGGACGGATGCACTCTGATGTGCATCCGTATCGGTTTAGGACAGGGCAACTGAAGGTCTCTCACGATCGGGGGTGCGGGGAAGCTCGTTTTCGGACCTCCCGCCTTTTTATACCCTACCGCGCCGCCGCGACCCGTGTCGAGCGCGGCAACCGTTACACAAAAATAATCCTTATAGCATGATTCAGTATTCACGTGCGACGGCGCGATGGCTTATTTCATGTATAAGTTTGGTGTTTCTATACCGATTTCTATGATTCTCTTTTTATTGAATAGGTAATAATGTTAACTTTTTTAAATTAGGGATGAGTGAGAGTATTATAAACGTAAGAGTAAACAAATATAATCAAAATGCTCCGAACTGCTAAGCTATCAGGAGTTACACGTGTTATTGTGAGTCAACCATAAAAGATAGACATATGCTGTTGCGGGATATTTTTTAGACAATTTTATGTAGAATATTTCCGTCATACATGATTTCTATGTAACTTTAACGATTAAGGCTGCACACGCGACGGAAGCTTAAAAAATGGAGTAACTTCTCCCGTTTTCCCAACATTTCCCTTCACTACTCTGCTCCTATTGATTGTAGCGTCAGGAAAAGTATTCTATAACCTGCCCAGGAGTATGAAGAATAATTGTACCAAGTTTCGTTAAAATCCGTCAAGTAGTTTTTGTTTCTATAAGGAACATACACACAGACAGACAGACAGACAGACAAAAATTTTACTGATTGCATTTTTGGCATCAGTATCGATCACTAATCACCCCCTGATAGTTATTTTGAAAATATATTTCATGTACAGAATTGACCTCTCTACAGATTTATTATAAGTATAGATAGATAGATGATGTTTTTTATAAATTATTCGATGGCAAACAAGTACATGTTTGAATAATATGTACATATTGAGATTTTTCGGTTTTTTTTAATTGCATTTCTTAAAGTGATATTATACAAAGACCTTGATTTAAGATATGCAACATAAATTGCTTGATTTAAGAAATGTATTAATAAATGGTCTGTTTACTACGAAAACCAATTATATGCAATTTTTTACGAAATTGAGTTATGAACACCGTTATACGTAACTTTTTGTGCTCTTTCTACTGGTATCGGTAGTCTAAATCGGATAAATGATAAGTCATACGGTTGCAAAGATAGCTAGGATGAAAACCTTATAAGTACACACATTTTGGAAAAAATATACAAGAAACACATTATAAAAAATCATAATACATACGTTTCTTTGTTATTTTAATTCTTATTATTCCTGGCTATTGTAGTTACTTGAATTCTTTCAATTTATATATTTTATAGGTTGTTTTATTTATTAACCTCATAGTAAAATGAAAACAAAGTCCTTTACATCTTAACCAAATTTGTGTATCATTTTGTATGTTGATAAGCTGAATAAGAGAAAAAAAATAACAAATTGTCTTCAAGCAAAAACTGATAAATGACCAAAAAATGGCATTTATAGCTGTATGTCTAGCTTTACACAGTGTTAAAATACTAAAGTTACTCTCAAATACAGAACACGACAGCATTTAGTTGAAATTAGACAATTAAGACGGTAAATTCCGAAGATACAATACATTCCCTAATTTCAGGCAAAACCTGATAAATGCGCACCCTCCTTTGTTAAAATTCAATTTAAAACAGTTTTTACTATTACAGCACACAAAATTAAGGTCACATCTAAGGAGAAGGGCATTTGTTTCAACTTTTTTCAACAAAGATCAGCTTGTGAAAGATTATTATATTACTTTAAGAGGAGCCCAAATGTTTAAAATCAATTTACGGTTTTCGCAGTAAGCAGACGAAATATAGTTTTAACACTTGTTTCCAAAGAAGACTATTATCAAATTTTAATACACATTAACTGAGATACAGAGTTTTAAAGCCTTAAGGATTTACGTTATTTCTAGGGTTGAATTGAAAAGTATTAAAATCTTGAGCGGTACTACAACCAATCCGTTAATGCTGAACTTTCAATCGCCTTCTACAGAACCATTATTACAGAATTCAGAATTGTCTTTGGGGAAGTCATCTGACTTTTATAATCCCATCAACATCAAATATAAGACAAGTGATACCTTTGAAATACTAAATAAAGAAGATATTAAAAGCACTGCCGATAAGAGCAGTGATAAAGTTAGTCCAGATTATGAAATTTTGTTTCGAAATGAATTGAAAACTCCCAAGAAATGCGGCAAAGATAAAGTTCGCATTTATTTGGATAAAGAGAAAAGGAAGATACGTGACGTGTCCAAAAGTTATATGGAAGCTGAGCAGTTCTGTAATCAGCTGTGATCAGTAAAAATTGAAGAAAATAAAATAAATACTTTAAATGACGATGGTTTTGCAATGGCAGTTAATAACTATTTTCACGAATTTTGATAATTACCTGAATAAGGAGCTGGGACCATGCTTATTTTAATAATCCCACAGTTAAACTTTTTCATCATCTTTCCAGTGTCAGAAATCTAAATACTGGAGAAAATATATGGGCTAACTGGAAGCACAAGATAGTTTAGAAAATATTATTACTATCAGCAGAACTTTTGGTTCTAAAGAATCTAAAACAAACAGACATGAATATCAGTGTCTAAGATTAGTGTTGTAGACAATAGATTGCTGTTTGAAGTATTGATGAATGTAGATGGTGTATAGCATCACCGTCCTCTATATTTCTATAAAATGTTATGCTACAAAAATCTTTAAATAAAACAGACCAATGAAATTTAAAATGAATTTTATTATATTTTAAACTTGTTGATTATAAATTATCTTGAATAATAACTTTAACAGATACAAGTATTTGATCTTGTTCATTAACTAACTTCTTAACAGCTGCTTTTCTGATGATCAGACAGTCAGACTTATGGTATATGTCCATACTATTTAGGGTGCTTCTGATGTGCACTGCGTTACCGGTGTAACTAAAGCACATCTTTTTGTCTTCTCTTGATAGTGTTACCTATAAATAATGGTGTTTTAGTTTATTACATCTTTTGAAGAACTTGACCTATACTATTGCTCTGTCGTTACGGAAAAAGTTCACTAGAAATTTTATTGATGTTAACATTCGATTACTAAAGCCCTACTGAGTGAATTTGCATGAATTAATTGAGATGGCGCTTTCTTCAAGTGAGGTTAAACATTTCATTTTGCTCCATTACAGTCAATATTGACAGTGAAAAGAAATGGTACAAAGCATTTGTGAAAGTTATGTAGTACGACTAATGGCATTTTCAATACGAAATATATTTGAATTATTCTTTAGAGATATCAAAACAGTCAAATAATGAATTTTATACAATCTACTAATATATATGGTTGGATCAGATTAGCCTGAGGAAATCTTACAAATTTAGATTTGATTTGGAACTTTACTGAATACCGAATGGTTCTCAAATCCAAAAATCAAAAATGATCATTATAAAAGTATCACACTAATATTATAAAGGCGAAAGTTTGTGAGTGTGTGAGTGTGTATGTTTGTAACTTCTTCACGTCTAAACGGTTGGAGCGAGTTTAATAAATTTTAGTATGAAGTTAGCTGACACCCTGGATTAACACATAGGCTACATTTTACTGCGGGAAAATATCCATCACATCGGGTAACACCGCTGGGCACAGCTAGTTGGTCAATAATTCAAAATATCCATTTGTTAACGTTTTATAATTCCCAATTTTGTAAAAGTTTGTCTCTACGAAAATTATAAGAGATTTTAAGTTGAAAATTCAGGTTCAATAATTTTTTTTATTTCAATAAACGATCGATTTAATGTCGCTTAGTCTTACTTCTCTATAGGTAGGTAAAGTTCTAATTTATTGGTACCAATATGTTTTAATTTTAATCATCATTTTGATCGTTGATGTTGTTTACCAATACTTTTCAATAAAATTTAAGATGACACAAAAATCATTACTTTGTAAATAACTTCAGTGTCTGTGATCTTGCAGAGCCACACTAGCAAGTGAATATGATTTCCTATCTCATATTCAGAAACTTCGTGGTCCTGAAATCAATGATACTGATCATATTATTATAATCATCTTCTTATCGAACTTTAATGCCGTATTGAGTTAAATTCGGTAATACAGACTTTACCTTCAGGCAGGGTAGAGATTTGTTAACTTTAGGGTCTTGATTGCGATTTACTGATTTTTTACTGATAACTGTATTTTTTGACGATACAATATTAACTGGTGAAGTCATTAATAGTAAAGGGCATGAGTTTGTACTGGAAAACACAGACGAAAAGATTAAATATAAATACCAACCATCCACCAAGATGGTGATACAAACAATATAAAATTCCATGGATAAAAAATACTTATGAGAAAGAAAAAATATTTTACCCTTCTCCAGCATTTAAAAGGATGACAGATAAACATTTTATTCCTTCACCTAAATCTGAAATCTTTATGCGAGTCCGATGAGTTGCTTGCAGTTTTAACAAATATCTGGACACTTTTGAGTGATCGAAGACAAAATGTTGAAGCACTGACTCCACAGCTATGATTTTTTCACACACTGGACAGGAAAGTGGTCTGTAAATCGATAATTTTTTGACTACAAGTTTTCTTTAAAGAATATAAAAAATCAATCACATACTGAATAATTTTGGAATGCACGCACGAGAGTAGTTAAAAATATTATGCTAGTATAAGCACAAAGTAGAACGTAAACAAGTTTTTTTTTCTCCAATAGCGACACGTGTTTCTTCTACACATGTCGCTAGTCGAGAATAAATTCTTCTTGAAACTGCGTGAGAATGCCTGTAAACGCAACGTCACTGTGCGTATCAGAAATTATGCTTTGATCTAAGTCGGCTCTGCTTCGGTCTGCGTTGATTTCAAAAACCCATTAGTTATGTTTAATGGTAATTTAACATGATAATATAACTACGTATCACGGTATTCGCACCTATGATGATAAATCAACAACAAAAGGGAAAGGGTGTGAAGATAGGTTCTAATTGACTGATACAAATCACTTTTAGAGTTGGGATTATTGAGATTTGAACTCAGAATCGTCAGTATTAATAGCGGCATACCTTTGTGTTAGTTGGCAATTTTGCAATATGCCATCGGATTCACGCGAACTTACAGCATTTTCTAAAGACGTGTCGGATGCATTATCCTGGTAGCTGTCATTTTTGTATGTTACGGTGATAATATTTTTTGGATCTTGTTCATAAAATTGATTGCTTTTTCGTACGAATTCAGTCTCAAGAGTTTTATTGGAGTCTCCGCTAGCTAAATCTATTTTATATGGTCTCATTATTGACACTTGTTTACTTTCTTTGTGTTTTTTCTTTCGTTTATATTTTGAGCAATGACCACTATCTGTCATCTTATCTAAAATCAAGTTATAAAAACAGTTTAATCAGTACCGTTTATAGTTATATTTGATCATTCCCCTATAATAGCAACATAAGATGATAACCACATTAAGTATTTACGACTTTTTATTCCCTATATATAAAAAAATAACATATGGTTAAATTTTTATATATAGGGAATAAAAAGTCGTGGAGCTTGACTTGGCGTTACTATTTATGAGTTTCTTGGGTTTAATTCCTATTGTCAAGATCCAACTGTTCTAACATAGACAGTAGCACCTTTAAATGGAAATCAAAAGCAATCAAATCACTAAAAACATGCCGTTGCATATTTCATGAACAAGCATTTATGTCAATGTATGGCAGTAGAAGAAAATATTGGAGGGAAAAGCTCTTAGTAAAGTTAGGCCGCTGAGAACAGTTGGTTATAATATTCCACGTTCTGATATTTAAAGTGATTACAACTTTCATGTATAATTTACATAGAATCATATACCAGATATATTATGTGTTCCATTTGCACGACAATTTCCGCACAAGATATGTTCTGAATCACAAACATTGAAAACAGTTTTTGATGTAGAGTGGTGATTGCATTGTGGCATATTATTTCTTTAACGAATAAGGATCCTAATCTGAAAATATACAAAAAAAGTTTTTAGACTTACTTAGTCCATAAAATGCCTGTGCATGCCATTGTCCTTTTATATTACGTATTTAAAATCTAGTGTTACATAAAAGTTAATAAGCAAACTTACGCGCTTAAACTACTTCAGAATTATACATTAAGATGGATGTATATCGCCTCATGTGTACCATTATTATTCTAAGCAGTTACAAGTAAAGCATAGGTACTGCTCTGTTTTATATTTGTTTTCTTAAGGTGAAGATTCTCAAATTTCGCGATAGGTATATTTGATTTGTATAAAATATCAACGAATTTGTAATGAGAAGACACAATATATATAACAATAAGGGTAGAAATTGAGAAAAGAAGCAGATCTATAATGTATAAACAGTAGCAGTATTTGTAACGAAAATGCTTAGATCGAAAATGTCTCTAAACTATGATGACGACTGCACAGGTACGTTTACTTAACTTTGATTTCTTTTTCTCTAGGTTATATTACGCTTGTTAGTTCACCAGTTCACTCGTTAGTAAGCAACTTAAGTGGTTTATAGATAGGGAAAGTGCAATCTTATTATTGCCTCTGTGTCTTTCCGGAAGCTATGACGAAATAATTCTGACTCGAATACATATAAACTTGCTACTTACTAAATGGTATACACTAAACCGTAATCAGAACGTGCAATTTGTAAATCTTACCGTTATATGCAAAATATCTTTAAAATGCAAATAGCTACTCCTATAAAAGGTAGAAAAGTAAAAATAGTAAACACACGAAAAAAAACGCTTGTCAATAAATAGAATTTTGACACCTCAGTCTATGAAGAAGATTATACAGGAAATCTCTATTTTCAACATTGATTCCAAATACCGAAATTCCTTACCCATGTTCCGAAAAGATAGGGGATGGCGCGATATGGTGGGAAAATATGGGTCCTTGGACTAAGATTTTTTGCGGAACATTGAACTACGTATACAAACAAAGATAGTGTAAACCTATGTTTTTAATAATAAATGTTCAAATAATATTACGCAAAGGGGACAATTTTGTTGAAGTTATGATTTTATGTAAAACCTTCTTGTTAGCGCGACTCGATGGCCTGTTCTCTATGTCACCGTTACTTCATTCTAGGACTTTTGCAAATACGTCAACGGTCTATACCTATAATAAAATGTAATGTGATTGGGACTACATAAACTAAATATTACGAGCTGATTGTCTTTCCTTTCTACGATCCACTTCCTCAACATGGTAGCAAAGGAGCGTTGTTGAATAAAATAAATAGAAAGAGGAAGATAAGTGGAAATTATTTGACAAGGTCAGTACCGAA